TGAGATAATTATTAGCAACATCATTAATGAAATAATTAATAGCAACATCATTAATGAGATAATTAATAGCAACATCATTAATGAGATAATTAATAGCAACATCATCAATGAGATAATTAATCAGGTAATGTACAACAATTTTAAACCTAAGAACAGGACACTGCAGGCTCAACTTCCACATGCATAAACTTGAAAAAGTGTGCAGTCCCCACACTGTGCATGTTAGACGGGACCACAAACAGCTGAACATACTCTGCAGGCCAGCCCACTCTACTGACAACTACAAAGAGAAACCTGGCCTCAAGAGCAAAGTGTGCAGAGCAAGCTTAACAGAAGTCAGTTAGTACTTACAGTTGCAACCAAGGTGGGTCTTACAGTCCCACCAACCTGGACACTCGGCAGCTGAATGTCCTCGACCCTTCCCCGATAGAAGTGTTCCGTGACATCTGTGTAAGGTGCAGCAACCAGCTGCCCCACCTGGACGGTGTTTGACAGGGGCTAGGAGAGGACAAGCAAAGTTATTATCACAAGATTTTAAAATAAAATGGAATATGACAGACATAATTTCAAGTGGTAAAAGATCTGAGTCTTACATCAAATGCCTCCAACATGAATTTATCTGCCTTTCTATCCCTCAATGGAGCATAGGCCCTCAACCAACTCAGGCCAAGTTGTTCTATCCTTCACCATTACATGGAGCTATCCCCAAGTCCTCCCTATCTTTCTAACTTCATTCTCCAGCTTTCTCCATGTGTTTTTTGGCTTTCCTTCATTCCTAGGCCCCTGTGGGTTCCAACATGAATAGGGTGCTTTAATTAGCCTCATCCTGTTTGTTTTTTTAATCAGAGGATTTTTAGCCTATACAGCATATACATGTATTTGGCAGCACATCACTTTGTACTGATTTTCCTATGGTATGTGTGTCAAGGGTTAAGTGAACAATGGCAAACTACTGAATGTAAATTGCCTAGCACAGCTGCAGACCAACTCCTATGGAGGCAGACGGTGAAAGACAGACTGTAACAGTTTGCAAGAGGTCAAACGAAGCAAGCTATAGAGAATCTGCTTGCCCGGCTCTTTAGCGTAGTTGGCAAAACCAGATTGCGCAGTGACCGGGTGACGAACTCCATGTGGTCTGGGTTCACTCCTGAGGGTAGGCAGAAAAGACATATGTCTCCCAGATTTACAGTATTTACAATGGAATCAAGGCCAAAAGGTTGCGATATCCATAATACCGAGCCTAAGGGTTAACAACTCATGGCTTCTGGATTTTTAAAAAAAAGAGAGAGAATCTGCAGGGAAGCCTCTAGCCATTAAACCATGGTGGCTACCTAAACCTCACCCTTTGGAAAGAAAATTTGTTCTTTCTGGCTAAAAATGGGAGCCGCCATGGTGTAGCAGCTAGATGCTTGCCTGCGCGAATCTAAAGGTCATAGGTCAGGACTTGAAAGGGAAAAAAAACCAAACAAATGATCGACTTAGCCTTAAACGGGTCCCAGGTAATATCCTGGGAAGTAAAAGCAGATGGCATGATGCTGACCACATAGCCTATCAACTACTGATATGGTCTATAAAATATAGGTCAAGTCGTAGAGGCCCAATACACCCGAAGGCGTGGAAAAGGGCCCTTTACTGAACTTTCTGCCCAAAATGGTCTCTAGAAGCCACACAGGGACCGCAACAATTTAAGATAAGATAGAAAGAACCTTCATAATGTGCACTAAAGATCGTACATGGTCAGTTAAACGCCGAACCCATCCTATCCTCTAACACAGGGGTCTCCAAACTGGGCGGCGCAAGAAGGTTTCAAGGGGGACATCAAGCAATTCTGAGAGTGGTAAAAAAAGGTAAAGATCCCTTTTTCACGCCTTTAGGCGCATCGGGCATATGGGAAGAGCACTCATATTTTTACAGACCAATAGGCACTAGGTGGGTCAGCATTAAGCCGGTCGATTTTGAGAGTGTACTTGTAATAATCTGTTATACTTCATATGGTTTTAGTTTCATTAGAAATAATATGCACACGGTTTATAATGACACTGGTTCACATCTCCCGACTCTACCTATATATATATATATATATATATAGTTTTAACATATGGCTGTGAATTCTGGACAATCTGTAGGCCAAACAATTTCTTGAGGCCTCAGAGATGTGGTTTTACAGAAGAATGCTTAAAATACCTTGGACAGCCAAAATAGAGCAACCAAGAGGTTTTGAAAGAGGCGGGAGCCTGAAGACAACTTATCACAGACATCAGAAGGAGACAGTCATCATTTGTCAGCCATGAGAAGAAGGAAAATAGAACATGTTGTGACCAGTGAAAGGTGGTCCAAGTGACAAAAAGGGACAAAGTCCGCAATCAGACAATACGTCAAGATCTTGATACCCAGCCCTTACTAACCCGAGTAGATCAGTCACAGTTACGATGGTTTGGACATGTATGCAGAATGGGAGAAAATCGGCCACCATGGCAAGCATGGGAGGCTAAGAACCAGGGAACCAGACCTCCGGGACGACCCAGGGTGCGCTGGGAAGACAACATCTGACAGTCCCTAACTGACAGAGGACTGGAATGTAACAAAGCCAGAAAGAAAACTGCAGATAGAGACGTCTGGCGATCTCTCTGGCAAACCTCTACACCCCAAGGTAGAAGAGGAGCGACTAAGTAAGTAAGTTGTGACCAGTGGAAAGATCTGTTGAAGGAGGGATAGAGAAAGACGAGACAAGATTTTTGACAGTTTTGTTGCATGGCATGGAGGTGGGTCAGCACATGAACTGATACATGCTGCAGGAGATCGCAGATTGTGGAGAGGCATGATCGCCCACGCCAGTCGGCAAGGCACCTGATGATGATGATACACACACACACACACACACACACACATACATATTTACTATTTATTTAAAAAAAACAAAGACGTTTTTGTTTTACTGAGCAGTCTGTACATCTACCGTTAAAAATCTAATTAATATGATAAACTGCGCATTTAATTATTGATTAAGAACACATTCTGACCAAAAACTATCTTCACAATTTGTTTCCTTGTTGAGAAATTTACAACCCTACTCTTTTTTAATCACATTTTGTTATGCTTGGGTGGGGGCGGGGGCATAGGAATTTTGTCATATATTCATGGGGGACGTGACCTGAAAAGGGTTGGAGAGGCCTGCTCTAACAAAATATGTCAAAAGAAAAGAACAGAAATGAGGAAAGAATCTGGCTCACCGTCAGAGGTTTCCGAGGGTTGTTGAGGCAACTCTGGATATGAGCCAAGCCATCCCTTGTGTGGGCATCGTCACAGTGTGCCCAGAAGTGACCGCATTCAATCACCTGTTGTTTATCAAATATAACAAGCTTGCATTAGTAATTAGTGATTAGAAAGGATTATCATCACAGCACAGATTCATAGGGGCTCCGATCTCCTCCTCAAAAGCCCCACAAGTGTAAAACGACTAATGACGCCTGTTCTGTGTTGGTTAATGAAACGCCATGACCCCTTAGTGAAATGTTCATTTCTTGCAGCTCCAGGCTGCACCCCCATGTCCATCAGTCTAGACAAGGATATGGAGTCATGTCCTTTGGCATGCTCCTTGGTATGGTAAGTGCAGCATATGGCATTGATAACATCACCTTGGTCCAGTACTGGGCCAGCCATAGCAACCGCAGTGTCTGCAAGATAGTCTGCACGCTCATTCCCTTGAACACCCGTATAACCTGGCACAAAGATGAAGGTTAGGGCAGACTTGCATTAGTGAAACTAATCAGCTCACCAAGTAAAGTAAAGGGGGCCTTTTCCATGCCTTCAGGTTGTATTGGGCATATAGGGCTAGACCTATATTGTATAGATCAATCAGCACTTGGTGGGTGATGTGGTCAACATTACTCCAGCCGACTTTACTTCCCAGGACTGTACCTGGTAATCATTTAAGGATGGGTCGACCCGGGAGACAAGGTAAATTTTTTTTTTAAAGTCCGGCTCCATCGAACCCACGACCTTCCGATCCACAGGCAAGCATCTAGTTGCTGCACCTCGGTGGCCCCCATTCCAAATAAAACACAATCACAATTTTTTCAACAACGCATGTTGTGTCTTAAATTACATGTCAGCAAGACATTTCTTCTTCTTGTTCACCAGCTGTAAACTGCAGCAAAAGTTCTGGTTGTTTATCTACTACTGGACTTTCATCTTGTTCCAGAACTTGAGCTTTATGTGCATATCCGTTTTACAGATCTGGATTATTTGTATGCAGACTGATGATTTCTCACCTCTCAGGCAGAAGTACTCCAACTTAGAAGGAAATGTCCCTAATTAGTTTTTTACTAATATAGACTTTTATGACATACTTGTTATGGGGAGCAGTCCCCCCCCCCCCCCTCCCCCAAGGGGCCCTGGAACCCACATTGGTAATCAGCTAATAACAATAAGGATAATGAATATAGAACAACATAAAAGGCTTATACAAGAACTGAGCTGTTTGGAAGGATATAGTCAACTCCTTGCCAAAATATCCACTCCACAGTTGAAAACACAGGCCTACCCTTGCTGAATAGTACACTTTCATGAATCAATCAGGTGCCATCTCCACACTGAAGGTTGGCTGCAATGGATCTCCAACATTGATCGATCTCTTGTCTTGATTGTACCCTTTCTCGGACTGCTGTTCATCTATCTCTTGATGTTTTCCCCCCATTTGTATTGCTGTCTATCTCTTGCTTTTCTGCCTTCGACTTCCAAGGTACCCGTTTCAATTCCAGCTTCAGGCGATTTGGCAGCAGACTACTTTGTGTTAATTTCAGAAGTGGTACAGTGAAATGACCATTCAGAAAGCAATGGCAAACTACTGAACATAAAATTGCCAAGTAAAACTAAACAGCAAAAAAAGATGGTTCAGACTCTGCAACATCCTGTAAAAGGAAATGCAAGTAACCATTTTATTTCAAACTACAATAATGAAAAGAGACAGCATAATGAAGGTAAAACATCGGAGCACTTACTTCTGTGACACTAACAAGAAGGATTGTGACATCTGGGTCAATGATGCTGCTGGACAGCTGTCGATCCGTCACACCATCTTCGGCTTTCAGCCTGAGTGACAAAAAAACTATTGTAAATTGATTGATTATCCTCATCGCATATGAGACAAGTCCATACGTACTCAGATCCCACCTGCAATATATCTCTAAGTGTGTGGCATGACTGATAACACCAGTTCTGTGATGGTTTACTATTCTTCTCTGGCTACCTGTATAATGTTCATGTCTGGCAAAATCTCCTTTAAACCGAAGTTCTTAGTCTTTTTAATTTTGATGATTCACTATCGTCTCCTGAATCAGCAACTAATCCTGTCATCCTTGAAAGCATTCAGAATATTGTCCTGGTCCATTGCTTGTCCCGTACCCACTGTGATCCTACCAGCGAGTTTTTCTGCATGTTCATTCCCTCCTACCCCAGAGTCTCCTGGCAGGAAATTAAACAGATTTATGGCAGACGAGACTTTCTCAAAGGCTCCAACAAATGTCATCGAACCCATCCTTTCATGATCTTCTTAAGCATGTTCATGGAATCAGAAAGCACACACGGGAAAAAATCTCTAGACAAATAAAATAATGTCACAGACACTGCACTCCACAATCTAAGGTGGCATGATTCCTGCACTGTCCTCTGTGTTTATGAGAGCAGCGTTAGCGTAGTCGATAGGAGGCTCGATTTCAAATCCAGCTGCAACTCGCTGCAGCCACTGTCTGTGTTCGAAACCGGTCGGTTCCCACGGTTCACCCAGCCTTTAGGAAATGGGTACCAGAGTTGTCACTCTGGGGTGAATGGAGGAACGTTGCTGTAGCTACGGAGTTATGTTCAGACGGCGACACAGGCGGACAGATTCTCATTAGCTGTCTGTACTGATGGCAGAGCACTTATGGTTTATAACCGTGTGCAATGACGCTGGTTCACATCTCCCGACTTTACCTTTACCTTTTTTAATGTGAGTTGGATCCTGAGGTGAAGAGAGGCCTTTCTAACATGAGTACCATTTGGGAATAGAGATTGCAAGGAGGTATGTAACCTATATATGTTTAGCATATGTCTTATTGCGCACGCGCGCACACACACACACATATATATATGAAGATAAACTGTCTTCCATATGCGATTCATACCCCTATAGTGCTGTTTGGCACTTAAACAAAATTGTTTAGAAAACATGGCCACCTGTTAAGAAGCTGAAACCGAAGATGAATGAAAGCCAGATATGAATGAAAGCCAGATATGAATGAAAGCCAGATATGAATGAAAGCCAGATATGAATGAAAGCCAGATATGAATGAAAGCCAGATATGAATGAAAGCCAGATATGAATGAAAGCCAGATATGAATGAAAGCCAGATATGAATGAAAGCCAGACATGAATGAAAGCCAGATATGAATGAAAGCCAGATATGAATGAAAGCCAGATATGACCGAGAAGCACAAGTATACAGACACACACAGATGCAAGTACATATTTTAGTGAGTCAAAAATTATTTTAATAAACACAAGAAAAGACAAATAGATTATACAGTTAGTCTTTCCAGAAAATACTTTTGTAAAGAAACTGCTCATTAATTATACACATACATATACCCACACATGTGTGCATGTAAACTGAGAGAAGGAGAAGCCAGAGTTTGGGCGAAACCAAAAATACATGTATGCCTTTATTCTTCTTGTTCTTCATCTATTTCCTCTTTGCGTTCACTGGCTGTAAACTCTGGCAGAAGGTTCTGCTTGTTAATCCACTTTTGGACTGGTTCTTGTTCCAGGGCGTGAGACAGATGTGCTCCCGCACCGAAGGAAATGTTGATTGTGTTGCCGGCTATGAACCTGCTTCTAGGATGACCACAGACACAGGTGTAGTATGGTCTTGACCAGTGTGATCTCCTCCCGTGTGGAGCTCCATTCTGGGGACCCCCCGCCCCCCCCCCCCCCCCCCCCCCCCCCCCCCCCCCCCCCCCAAAAAAAAATTTGCTACTGCCCTCCTTACAAGCATGTCCTTACAATTGAAAATTAGGGGTGTTTCCTTCAAAGTCTAAGTGCTTCTGCATGAAAGGCAAGAAACTAACAGTCCGCTTACCAATAAGCCAGACCTGTGTCAAACAGATGTGCACGCAAAACTAAGTTCTAGAACGAGACTAAAGTCCAGAAGTGTGCCCAGAAGTGGCCGCATTCAATCACCTGTTAGTTGGTAGGTTCACAGGAGTTTATCAAATAGAACAAACTTGCATTAGTGAAACTATTCAGCTTGCCAAATAAAGTAAAGGGGCCCTTTTCCATGCCTTCAGGTTGTATTGGGCATATAGGGCTAGACCTAAATTGTGTAGATCAATCAGCACTGGGTGGGTGATGTGGTCGATATCACACTGGAATTTACAGCCAGTGAACACGAAGAAGAAGAAGAATAAAAGTAAAAAGTAGGTGCATCGGGTATACGGGAAGAGCGTCCCATATTTTTACAGACCACTCGGCACTGGAGGGGTAATGTGGTCAGCATTACGCCGGCCGTCTTTACTTCCCCAGAACAGCTATCCTGGTACCCATTTTAGGCTGGGTCGACCTGCGACGCTGCATACTATGATAAAAAAAAAAACCGCAAGAAGAGGAAAACATGAATTGAAACTGTCATGAAAACAATCTGGCAACACAGGAAGCTAACACAATGGCCTGGACACAACCAGCTGTTACCTGTTGGTCCGCAGATTCCCATCTGATCTCTGGCACTGCGTGGCTTTCTGTAATTCTGCCAACTTCCTCTGAGTTTCTTCTTTGTCATACAGGTCAAGGGTCAACTTTATCCCCAACTGCCTGTAAGATGAATGAATGAATTAAATGTTGAATGCCGAATTAAAATCGACACCATAGCCTGAAAGACATTCTTATGATGATAATTGATTTGTGCGCTCGCTCCTAAAGGACCCTTACAACACCAAGCTAGCCATGCATCAAGTGAACGAATTAATTCAGAATTGGCATTGCTGCACTTAACACATTTCTACATGCACTCAACTCCTTCTTACGATTAAAAGTTTTCTATTGTTGGTGTCATCACTAGTTGATAACCTCATCTACTATCGCCTGTAACTCTTCAGCTATTTCATTCCGATCTTTCCTCTTCCTATGTCAAGGCCATTCAGTAAAGAAACAAGATTATTATGGCCTGGAGAGAATGAGCACCTGGGTGGGACCAGAGGGTCTGGCCGGCTCACTACACTCAGAGAAAAGGCAAGACGGACATATAACCAGATGTGACTGGTACCATCAGTATTGGAACTCTGAGCTGGCTGCTGAAGATGAGGACGGAGCATGCATGGGAATGACCAGAGTGCTGTGATGTCAATTCTTGACTCAACTCAACTCTACTGTTGGTGTCAGCGGAAATGTGAAGAAAAGTATGTCTATCTTTTTCCTCCATGAATCAAGTGTTATCCAACCCACCCTTTGTTCATTCCCCGTAGAGTAATTCTCAACTGGGATAGATATATACTCAGACACTAATATTCCATACCCAACTCCCAAAGCGCTCCTCCGTCCTAAGCCATTGGCACAATATAGGATGTCAGGTTTGGTATATGCCGCCCAACATTCGGCATTAACAGAAGACAGGTAGTATCAGCTATGGTTATACGGTAGCTCAATCATATCTGACCAAGACCTGACATATAAAACATATAAAATATTGAACCCATAAACCAACAGCTCATATAAAACACACACACAATGCCCTGCATATCTTCTTCTTCTTCACATTCACCGGCTGTCAACTCAGGAGGAAAGTTCCGGTTGTTCATCCACCTCTGGACTTGTTCCAGAACCTGAGTGCTGCATGCACATCTATTCTATAGATCTGACTAATCTGTATGCAGGCTGTTGGTTCCTAACCTATCAGGCAGAGGCACTCCGGCTATGAAGAAAGGAAACTCCCAATTAGTCGACTCTTACGAGATGTTTTTTGGGAAGGCAGTTGGCCTTTTTTTCCCCCTACAATGTGGCCCCAGAACCCACATGGGGCCCCTTGCATATGAAACATACGCACACAGTTATGTCCTCTATATGAAACACCCACACACTTATAATAGTGCTTTGGCAAAGAAAGAGTTAAAGTAACAACTGAGGCTGTGTGAGTTAGTATAACAAATGAATGTGGCATGGAGAGAGAAAAATGTATCATGTAAGTAGATCAGCGCTCAGTAGAGGGGAAGAGGCAGACTAAACATTTTTTTTAACCAGAATACACAGCTTGATGGACTTGGCAGGCTTCAGGCATGCAGCCATGAAGTCCACTGCATCTGACCATCAAAGTGGGAGGCAGCTGATACGACAGTCATCAACAAAAGGGTGACTCAACAACAGGTATTATTATGGGATGACAATGATGAATGAGAACCTAGGAAACATATGGTGTGTTGCTTGGTCCCGAATAAGATGCACCCCCACCCCCCAATTCCCTTCAGGACCCCACACATACAATACCTTAATTTAATGGCATAACACACGCCTGGATGGATCTTCCCCTCTGACAGCATGCCAGGTTTCCAGCAGAACTCAATAAAGGCTCTGAAACATCAAACAAATATCACTATTCTGGTAATGTATTCAATAAATTTAATAATTTAAAAGTGAGAACAGGGAAACTGCATGTATACCCAGTACAACTGATGAGAATTACACAAAGCATGAAATTCCACAGCTCCAGTGATAGACCTTAAGTACTTCTAAAATATTCTTTATCATTTACCCACGTGACGCAATTGTGTTGTGCCTATTTACAGCATAGCTGTGACATTTGTCTTTTGGCTGACACATCCAACTTCTTCTTGTGTTCGCTTTCTGATTTACACTGACAGACAAGTTCTTGTGATAAATTTGACTGTTTTTAAGAGTTCCATACAACTGTGAGAGCAGTATGGACTCACTGGGTCAATATTACCTTCTTAATGGGCTGTACGATGGACATTCTTGCAGGACATGTTCTCTAGTCTGCAGACACAGCCCACAAGGGCACAATGGTGAACTACTTAAATAAAACCTGTGCATATGCTTGTGCTTGTACTTGTCAAGTTTGTTATGTTCTGTCCTGAAGCGCAGAATAATGACCTGTCCATGCCAGTCAATTAAGTGGTACATCCAACTTCATTGGACATTTGTTCACTGGGTTAGCCTTCCCAGTTGGTTTCTTGGGGGTATAATGTAGCCACCGTATGTGTGTGGTGTTCTCTTTGTCCCTGCATCTACAGGAGCTGCCCCTGGAGAACCCGTCCAGGATTTCTACAATACTTTCCCTCACATACTAAAGGTCCGAATTCACAAACATCAGTGAAAGGCAAACATTTTAATTACATCATCGTGTAGCAGGTTCTTTGCAGAATGTCACTCTCATCACGGTCTGCCTGAAAGAAACTTGGTCTCTCGCCAGCTCTCCCTCCTCATGTACTTTCATACTCAAGAAGTCGCTTATATCCTGTGCCCATCTTCGTGTCGGTCTGCCCCTGCCCCTCCATTCTGGTACCATGCTTTCAGCTATAATTCTTTCCAACCCGTTGTGGCTCTTGATATGACCAAAATATTTCAGCTTCCGAGACAGGATGGTGTTTATTAGCCAATCTTCCTTGATGTTCAGATCTTTCAAGATGTCAGTATTTCTCTTCTTCTTTGTCCAAGATATTCTGAGAAGCTTTCTATAGCATTTCAGCTCAAAAGCCTCTTTCTTAAGGACTGGGAGATAGTCCACGACTCACATCTGCATGTTGCTACAGGGAAGATACATGCTCTCAAAATTCTAATTTTTATTTTCTTGCTGGTGCTTAACCATTGACTTTTAATGCCGTTTAATCTTTGCATTGCTATGGCAATCCACCTTTTAATTTCTGTCTCCATTGCTATTTATTGCAGACACACAGACCTTCAAAAATGGCACAAGTACCCCCTGTGAGAGTTCCGGAGCCTCATTCTGGAGAGAAAGAAATAACCGACCCACTGCCCTCCCTATTAAGCTTGTAGTAAAAGACGACTATTTTAAGGTTTTGCTGAAATGAAATGTGTTGGGTCGAAAGATACTCCAGCCTAGCTGTAAACCACAACACATGTGCCAGCAGCTTTACTAAGAGCGAATGCAGAAGTAGAAGAAAGAAAAAACCTGCCTGAGATTGAAGAGTTTACAGAAAAACTGTGCAGACACAAACAAAGAGTCTGCTTGGAGTTTTCTTCGTCTTCTTTTTTGTGTTCAAACTCCAGCGGAAAGTTCTGGCTGTTCATCCACCTCTGGACTTTAGACTTGTTCCAGAACCTGAGCGTTGCATGCACATCCATTTTACAGATGTGACTTATTTGTATGCAGACTGTTGGTTCCTTACCTCTCAGGCAGATGTACTCCGACTTTGAAGTAAACCCCCAGTTAGTAAACTCTTATGACATGCTTGTTGGGGAGGCAGTAAATCTATTATTGTCTTTCCCACAATAGGGCCCTGGAACCCATACGGGAACTTGTAGTTTTAATACGTAAATCACACACTGTCCTACGTACCTGGTTTGTTCACAACTTATGCGGGGTAGTGGATCCTTGTGGCAACAGCTGAAAATATCTTGAAGCTGCTTCACGTACAGCATGCCTTGGTTTACTGGCAGTCCTTTCACCTGCACAGGTGAACACATTGGATGAGGGGAAACTTGCAAATAAGATGGAGCAGCATGTGGGGATGCACAATGAAACAATAAAAAGGTCTGTTTAGATTATGTGGCGAAATCCCCCCCCCCCTCCCCCTTTACCAAATAGTGTACTATAAGGGAAGCCAGATTAGGTAAAATAATGAGACAGTTATAGGAACAGCAAGTATCTCATATTTTCAATAAAGCAAATGCTAGCCTAAACAACCACATAATGAGAAGAGAGACATTGCAGAACTTCGTGACAACTGGAAAGATCAGTGGAAAGAGGCATAAAGGCAGACCAAGAGAGATGATGCTGGATGGGCTGAAACGATGGCATGGAGGGATATCATCAAGAGAGCTGTTCCAGGCAACCAGGGATCGTGATCTGTGGAGACGCATGAGCTCCTACGCCAGTTGCCAGGGCACATGATGATGATGATGATGAACCTAAACAACTGTCCTACAAGTGTCTCATACAATAAAGTTGTTAGTCGAGATTCCACCTTTATTGAAGATGGATCACTCCATTACGGGTCCGTTCCTGTACCAGGGAAATCACACAAAATGTCATTTAGTATCCTATTCGAAAAACTAGCGAAAAACGTGTCAGTCCCAGGAAAATCGTGATATTCGCACACACAAAGTAAATGCATAAGGTAACACTATCAGTCTCCTAACAGAATTACAGCTCACAGTTGATTAAAGTAGTCAATTATGATAGCTGATATTCGCACACACAAAGTAAATGCATAAGGTAACACTATCAGTCTCCTAACAGAATTACAGCTCACAGTTGATTAAAGTAGTCAATTATGATAGCTGATATTCGCGCACACACAAAGTAAATGCATAAGGTAACACTATCAATCTCCTAAAAGAATTTCAGCTCACAGTTGATACAAGTAGTCAATTATGATAGCCAGCAATACTGCATACGTAAACGCCATTCCAGACATAGTCGGCCACCCACCATTTTTATTATAGTTCACAACACCAAAACCATCATGGCCACAACATAGAACAATTTACATGAAATCCACAGCTCACAGTGCCACATCAAGCACTAAACCCAGTGGCTGGGCAATGGAACCTTTGGACTCCCAGTTCAGAAATGGAGAAATTACATTAACATCCCGCAGCTAGAAACAAAAAAACTTTCAAAGTATCAGCAGCCAGTCAGCCTAACCGCCATACTGGATCAGAAGGCTCTCAAGCAATAAAGAAAAGGATAAATATCTATAATTACCTGATAAATATCTCAAAGATAAAATAAATATAAAGATAACCTCAATGACTGTCCAAAAAGTATCTTATACTTAAATTTTAAAAAAACATGGCTTACCATGACTGTCCGGCAAGGGTCATTCCCAGACAATAGTTTTACTGCGTCTTTCTCATCCGTCTCCTCTTTGACCACGAAGTTTGGATAAAAGGCACCACAAAGCACAATCTGGGGGGTCAACACAAAGCAGTCACCGCTAAATGGGTCAAATACTAAAGATAGCTTGATTGCAACATGGACATGTGACTATCGGTAAACCCTTGAAATAGCACGAAAAACACGTCTACTTCAACATAGAGTTCACTGGCTGTTGTTTGCCTAATCAATGAATTTTACTCGAATCTGAACTCTGCAACTTGAATTTTAGTGCAAATCCATTTTACAAATCTGGCTTACTTTATACCAAATGGCAAGAAAACTGGTTAAAGCTGATGAAGAATTAATGAAGTTTTAGGGAGTAATAGTAGGGATTGCTTTGAAATGAGCGAGTTGTGAGTTGGGCTATCTTCACGTTACGCCGGCAGACATGTGTACTTCTGCACGTGAACAAGACCATCTGACCCAGCCATCAACATTGACTGAATTTGAAATGAATCCCAAAGGATCAATACGAGGTTGTGACCACGTACTGATATGATGATTACATTTAATTATCTTCTAAGCTATACAACATACAATGCATGTCTATCACACTGTACAATACTGGTGTTATTTTGGGTTGTTATTATCACGTGATATTCTAGTGTAGTTGGCATCACATCTGACTAACAATTGGAAGATCCTCATTAAACCCTGCTGGACATTTTTCTTTTAATTGTAAATTTTCGCTTTCAGTTTTTAGCACTTGCGGCAACGGATGACCCAAGGATAAATATTTTTTTTTTCAAAGTTATAACTTGGTGAATACAATTAATTATGATTAATGTGGGAGTCGCGGTAGATTCATCAATCAAATCTGTTGGCAGTCCAAATTGTAACCCTGAGTAACTGACCCAGGGTGGGGTGCTAGCAGTTCTTCCAATTAACACACCCCCCTTCCCCTCCACCCCCGACTTTTTTCTGTGTGTGGGCGGTAGTTTCGTTGGTAAAGTTTGTGTGGCGGTGGAACGGGCCAGGGGATGGTAAGAGCCTCAGATGCAGTTAGGGGCAATGACGAAATATACAGCAGCAGTGGAGATAATGATGCAGTAGAGGACAGGAGAATAAAAAAATGGTCTTGCACTATCCTCCTGTGAAGAAGGTAAAGGAGCTGAAACATTCAAAGAATATTCCTGCTGCTGATAGTAAGGCTACTATGTGCTAGCTCCTCCGTGGAGTTTCAACTACATATATGGCAGCGGTGGAGACAAAAGTGAAGTCGACTTAGCAGAGGATGCATTTTCTTTCACTATACTTAGGTAATAAAATCTAGCTTCTAGTGGTTATTTTCTGTAAAAGCGAGATTTTTTGGTGTCGCCGTAGTTCGTCCAACCTGTCAACAATGGGGTCCACCACCCAACTCACTAGGGTGAATAATTTTAGATGCATAAAATATAGCCCGCACCACCGATACATCTTTTGTGTTTGGAGGACAGAAAATTATTCAGCACAGAAGAGATGATCAGCAGGGATCTTGTTTAGCACAGTAGTAGTAACGATGGCTGCGGAGTATGGTTAAAGCCCTTCTTGTTTCTTAACTAATGAATAATAATAACAGAGATAGAAAAAGATCTGGAGAAGCAGATGAAGAATAACATGAATATTACAAACAAGAATGTTTACTGGTGTTATTATAAAAAACAAGGATGTTTACCGGTGTTGATATTACAAACATGAATGTTTACCGGTGTTGATATTACAAACAAGAATGTTTACCAGTGTAACAAGAATGTTTACCAGTGTTGATATTACAAACAAGGATGTTTACCGGTGTTGTACAGAACAAAGCTCACCTTTAAAATCAGTCTCTCTGTTGCACTTGTGTGACTTCCTTTGAAATTGGGCTTGTGCCGTGGCCGAATTATGTTAAATCTCTTTAGCCGATCTTCTAGCTCTGTGACCATCTCATGAACCTGCATTCATTTAGCGCATTCATTTAGATCTCATTAAAAAAAAAACACAGAGGATAACAGGGATACATGGTTTAACTTTACTTCCAGCCCTATGACCCTCTCATGAACGTGCACTATCTGGGGTATAAAATTAGACTCCATAAACACAGAGGATAACATGAATACACAGTTTAACTTTTCTTCCAGCCCTATGACCCTCTCATAAACGCGCAGTAACCTTGGAATTGAAACTCTGTGCTTGCTACTGAGGATGGGAATGGAGCGCTTATGGGAATGTCCCGAATGCGGTGATTTCGATTCTTAATTAAACATTAAATATTAAACTTGTATTCAATTGTTACTGTAGTATGCACCTGACGAGGTACAGTGATAGATAAGTGTTTAGAAGAGCTAAAAGTAAGGCGGGCCTGCGTGCCCAATTAGTAACCCTTTGAAAATAACATTTGTTTATTCGTTAATTACAAGAGAAAGAGAGGATTGAGGCACATAGGAGGCATGGTGGAAAGCTTCCTCCTTCCCAGAACTGCAGATCCTTTTAGATGGAAAAATATAATGGACTCGCTGTGCTCGAACAAGTATGTTGTAAAAGTTGACTCATGAAAGGTAATTACTGTATTTTTTCCCTGTATAGGATAATGTGTATTACGAAATTTTTCAAGTTAAAAATAAGGGGTCTCATAAATACAGAATGCGTTTAAAATATGGATTTCTTAATTTTGAGCTGAGAGAAAAATAGAAGTTATCTTATCTTACACAAGCGATCTTGTAAATGAGGATGCTGTGCATAGAAAAACATGGTAATCCGAGGTTTGGATCAAAAGGCAGATACTGAAGCCTTGCTTTAAACCTACAATATCAACATACCCACCAAGTAAACACAGTCAGCAGCAAATGAATTCCAATAATAACACACACACTTTGTCAGAATAGATAGATAGTTTAACGGCCAATTATTCACACCCCACATCGGATAGGTCCATAAGCACTGGGATCCCATCTTGAGTATCAAAGTGTGGTGACTAAAAACACAAGCAGTAAGCCAATATACATCTATACAACAATACAACAATACAACAATACATCAATACAACAATACATCTATACAACAATACAACAATACATCTATACAACAATACAACAATACAACAATACAACAATACATCTATACAACAATACAACCTACCTCTTTCATTCGTTTCGGCTGCAGGTAGTGTTTCTTCCCCCACTGGCCTTCTGTTGCTCCTGCTCTTTCAAATTCTTTCATTCTGACTCTATTCTCCCATACCTGCAGAACAAAGAAATGTATTTACCTTTCTGGTGGATGGACTGGCGGAGAGATGTACCCATGGACAAATCAAAGGATGGATCATTACAGTCTGAGGAGAATGGCGCTGCGAGGAGTTGCCAGGGGATCTGGCCGACGCTCAACACTCAAGGGAAAGGTGTTATTGGTGCCATCAGAATCTAACTCTTCATTTGCTGCTGAACAAGGGGCGACGGAGCGCTTATGGGAGTGTCCCGAGTGCTATGATGTCGATTCTGAATTCAACATTCGTAAATCAACATATCAAATGATGGGTGTATGGATTTTGAGATGGATGGCTGACTGTAGAAAGTCTTCTGGTCAATATGGCAGATAGGCGGGTTGAACATTTTTGTTATTGTGGCTAATTTTTGTTTTTAACAAAAGGTAACCACTGCATTTGCCTCCATAAGTAGACTGAAAGAATATAGTTCCATTTCCCAGTTACTGAGCTGAGTGCTTGGTTCAACACTGTGAGCTGCAGACTTCACTCTTAGAATGCTTTTCAACTGTGTCCGACATGGTTTGTATTGTGAACTGCAGATTCAGAAAACAGTGAGTGACCTGTTTCATGAGAATTGGTGGTGCCTTATGCAAATAACTGCATATGCAACTTCTACTTCTTTTTCTTCACGTTCACTGGCAAAAAGTTCTGGCTGTTTGATGACTTGATTAAGTGTATGAAAATGTGTGTTTGTTTATTTGACCGATCTACATCATGGCCACACGGGTGTAACCTACATGTGCTCTGTGATACTTCTAACTCAAGCTTAAGTCTGAGGGATCTCAGCGCAGTGCACAAACTCTGTGGAACCAGCGAGGATCCTGAAATACTCTTGGTAGATTTTTTTACTCCAAATTTTGCCTGGGCAGTGCCATAAGGCTGAGAAAATGTGGATTGTTGGATGCATGTATGGATCTTTTTTTCTTCTTCCTTTCATCAGCTGTCTCCAGGCCATGCCAGCATGGTGGGTAATAAACAGGCAGACAGATTAGCTGGATGTGCACCACTGGGTGGTGAACTGATACATCACAAGGCAGATGTGGTCAAGGTCCTTTGGGAACAAGCAACGGAATCAGTAGAGAAAGAAGATTATTATGGCCTGGAGACAATGAGGCACCTGGTGTAACCAGGGGGTCTGGCCAGCTCACCACACTCAGAGGAAAGGCAAGATGGACATATAACCAGATTGTGACCAGTACCATCAGTATTGGAACTCTGTGCTGGCTGCTGAAGATGAGGACGGAGCATGCATGGGAATGCCATGAGTGTTGTGATGTCAATTCTTGACTCAACTCATCAGCTCTAAATCAGTCTGAAAGTTCGGCTTCTTCATCCACTTCAGGTTTTAATTCTTGTTCTTCGAAGAAACCTGCCCAATTAGTCTCCTTGGGTCTATTCTCCCCCCCCCCCACCCCATTGGGTCTCCGGAACCCACCCAGGGTTATGCATGTGTATAAAGATGGAAGACTGGATAAATGGATGCAAGTGTAGACATTTGGGCATATAAGAATGTGGATTGATCGATGGGTGAGGAGCGGTAGGTTGAACGGTTAGAACGCTGGGCTCTCATGCAGGAAAGCCAGGTTCGAATCCTCGGTAAGACTGAGAATTATTCTGTCGCGGGCAAAATAAAATCCTCCCTTGCACAGTCGTGGCGACAGCACTAGCCATGCAGCCCTAAATCCTCAGGCTCAAAGACCCCCCTTCCTACACCATAAAAGTGGTATATAAAGGCAGTTATTGGATCGATGGGTTAATGCATAAACAGGTGACGGATAAAAGCAGCAAAATGAAACCATGTAGTACAGTTCAGCCTTACCTTGTAGGCATTAAGTGCAGCTATGCAGTCACTTAGAGAGTTGTCCGACCATTCAAATTTAGCTCTGCGGAAGCAACACACACAGAGCTATCAAATATACATCACATACCAATACAAGCTATATATATAAAAGTGATTAATGTGGAAGCGGGAAATCAGAAAGGGAATACAAATAAAGGAAAAAAATGACTGCAGGAAGGATGAGTGCTGAGCATCTAGGGAGAAGCACAATAAACAGAAATGAGGACAACAACGGTCCTGAAATCCCAGGCTCTAACTGTGGAAGACTTTTCTTCACATGGGCAGGTCTTGCTAGGCACGTTGGACTTCACCAAGGGCTGAATGTTGAATTCTGAATTAAGAATTGACATCATAGCGCTCTGGACACTCCCATAAGGGCTCGGTCCCCATCTTCAGCAGTAAGCGAAGAGTTTCAATTCCAATGGCACCAGTAACTGTCTGATTTCATATTCCTCTCGTTTTTCCCCAGAGTGTTGAGCATCTGCCAGATCCCCTGGTAACTCCTTGCAGCACCGTTCTCCTCAGTCCATAATGATCTATTTGTGCCTTCTCACTGTTCACTCACTCCCAAAGGGCCCTCACAACATCCAGCTTGTCATACATCAATTCACCACCCCAGTGGTGCAGAGCTGGTCAATCTGTCTGCCTGCTTATTTCCTAACACACCAGCATGATATGGAGAAAGTATCCAAAGGATGCTACCTACCTGGGATCCCTGAATTTATGCTTTTCTCAAAAAATCTGCTGCATGGTAACTGTCTGATAATATCGTTTCTAACTTTGTATTGGATAGTTAAGTTTAAAATGGCGGCTTTTCTTAGGCATCTAAATTTGCACGTTTTAATTTTATGTAGGTTAGGCTTTGGTAATGTCCAGGTCTGGCACTGCTAGCACAGTGCTGGTATGAATATGCCGTTTATAATCTGTTTCTTAGCGTTCATACTTATGTGTGGCTTTCTTAAAAACGGTGTTAGTTGGTATATAAGTGTACTGGCTTGCGGGCATCTTGTTTCTATTTTCCGCTCTATTCCCCGTCCTCCGAGATTATACGTCCAAGATATTTAAATTCTTTAACTGGCTTCAGACAAGAACCATTCCACCTTATATGTAGCAGACTAGGAATTCTGCTCACCTGTATTTCTTTAGTTTTAGTAGTACTTATTTTCCTGTTTTTATCTTCTGTATGTTGAACTTAGCCTGTTTAAATGGTCTTGCAGTCTACTCCCCTCACTGTAGAACAGGCACTGATCATCTGCAAATAGTAGCTCGTTTATTGTGTGTGGATTTAATTCTTCCTCTGGAAAGTAAAGTTCCTCATCTTCTGGATTTTCTGTTTTTATGCTGGCTTTTAAAAAAAAATATTCTGTCTATGTATACAGTAAAGAGGAGATAGCACACATCCCTGCCTCACCCGTGTACTGTTTGTAAACATATTATAGCACACATCCCTGCCTCACCCGTGTACTGATTGTAAACATATTATAGCACACATCCCTGCCTCACCCGTGTACTGATTGTAAACATATTATAGCACACATCCCGGCCTCACCCGTGTACTGATTGTAAACATATTATAGCACACATCCCGGCCTCACCCGTGTACTGATTGTAAACATATTATAGCACACATCCCGGCCTCACCCGTGTACTGATTGTAAACATATTATAGCACACATCCCGGCCTCACCCGTGTACTGATTGTAAACATATTATAGCACACATCCCGGCCTCACCCGTGTACTGATTGTAAACATATTATAGCACACATCCCTGCCTCACCCGTGTACTGATTGTAAACATATTATAGCACACATCCCTGCCTCACCCCGTGTACTGATTGTAAACATATTATAGCACACATCCCTGCCTCACCCGTGTACTGATTGTAAACATATTATAGCACACATCCCTGCCTCACCCGTGTACTGATTGTAAACATATTATAGCACACATCCCTGCCTCACCCGTGTACTGATTGTAAACATATTATAGCACACATCCCTGCCTCACCCGTGTACTGATTGTAAACATATTATAGCACACATCCCTGCCTCACCCGTGTACTGATTGTAAACATATTATAGCACACATCCCTGCCTCACCCGTGTACTGATTGTAAACATATTATAGCACACATCCCTGCCTCACCCGTGTACTGATTGTAAACATATTATAGCACACATCCCTGCCTCACCCGTGTACTGATTGTAAACATATTAGATATGCCTTCTTGGTGTTCTCATTGTGATTTTGGAAGTGTGGTACCTGGCCACAATATTATCTTGTAATTGTCCTTGTATCACTGAATCCCCAAGAATAGCCCACAGTTTGTTTCTGTCCTCTATCAACAGTTTTTTTTTTTTCTTGAACTACAAACACAATATTCAGTTCATTCTCATATTCAATGGTTTTCTTGCAAACTTGTCTTAATGTAAATAAAGCATCTTTGCAATCCTTTTCCTTCCCTGAAACCAAATTGTGATGTACTTAGGTGTCGTTCCGCTGTAGATCTAACTCTGTTATAATAACTTTGCATAGATTTTTCCTGTGTATTTACTTATTTAAAAGCATCAAACATGGTACTCACTTAAAAGCCTCTAATCTGGCTTGCATGGGATTTGCAAAAATACTCTTCACAGACAATGCTGCCCCTGAAATTATATAAAAATAAAAACATACATTTCAACATATGACACACAAAGATAATTACCTGCCAGCCATTCATTATGCATGTTTCTATTAGTCCATATCCATAATCTGTTTTTTGTTTAAATTTTTAAAAACAAAATTTAAACAAAACCAAAAAAAAGCATTTATTTAAAAAAAAAAAAATTAAATGCCTGAAGGCACACTGGGCATATAGTGCTATATCTACATTTTATAGACTAATCTGTACTCATTGTGTGATATGTTCCACATTACTTGCCAGAACTTTACCTGGCACTGATTTCAGGCTGGGTCAACCTAGGAGCTAAGGTCAATTTACGGGGTCAACATTTCTCCTCATTCCACTGGCAAGACATCAACGTGGCTGCTTCTGGATAATCAGTTAAGTGATTTTGTGTATTTCAGTGGTTATGTCTGATTTATGTATGGTATGTGCTGAAAAAGGCTCTATAGCGGCAACGTTCATGTTCTCTTTGCGTGTGTTATATATGTGAAGCTCACTGACCTACTTTTCGTTCAGTTTTTTTCTTTCTATGATTTTATTTTTTTTTAAACAGTCCACCACCTGTAGTTGTTGCTTCTTGCTACCTGTGGAACTCGGATCCAATTATACTGTGTCTAGACAACCATTACCAAGCCTTGTTGCTGGTCACTGTCTCCTCCTTTTTCCTTGGTTTCCAGGTCACAGCCTTTTTGGCTATGCTTGCTTAATGAACCTGGCCTAATAAGAAACCAGAAACAACAGCTCTGCACCTCACAAAGCCAGATTTGCAAAACCTGGACAATGATCCAGCATATAAGAAAAGTTGCACTGAGGCCCTTAGGATATACACAAAAATGGGTTACCTGTAAACTTCTTTTATTGCCCTGAAACCCACACAGGAAACTCAATACAAATATCTAGACAAAGCTGTCCTAAAATGTCTTTTACTTATGCAGAAACCACTTGTGCTGTGAATAAGATCTGCTTACAACTGACCACTCAAATACAATCGGCTAAACAAAGCTATTTTCAAAGGTCTCTTTGCAGACACCATCTTCCCTTATTAATTCCAGGGCCCCTATTCGGTGGAATGAGGGATAGATCAACGGCCTCCCTAAAAGACAAGTCGCAAAAGATGACTAACTAGGGGGTTTTGTTCGAAAACATGGTTCAGCTGCCTAAGAGGCAAGGAATCAACAAACTGTCCGCAAACAAGTTAGCCAGGTTTATAAAACATATTTGCAGACAAGTCTCATGTTCCGGAAATGATCAAAGTTAAACAATCAGAATTTTCTGCCGGAGTTTACAGCCAGTGAATGCTAAGAAGAAGAAGAAGAAACCATCTGTGCTGTGAACAAGAACCAACCACGGCCAATGACCACTCAAGTAGAACAGACTGCTGTGAACAAGAACCAACCACAGCCAATGACCACTCAAGTAGAACAAACTGCTGTGAACAAGAACCAACCACAGCCAATGACCACTCAAGCAGAACAAACTGCTGTGAACAAGAACCAACCACAGCCAATGACCACTCAAGTAGAACAAACTGCTGTGAACAAGAACCAACCACAGCCAATGACCACTAAAGTAGAACAAACTGCTGTGAACAAGAACCAACCACAGCCAATGACCACTCAAGTAGAACAGACTCACCAATGATTAAACACTCCTCTAGAACCCCAAAGACGTGGCCCAGGACCAAAAGCTTGCCAATCCGAATGTCCACAGGCAGGCTGGCTAAGACACGGCCAATAAAAGTCAGAGTTCCATCATATGGGTTCGACTCCTCGCCCACGTCAGATGACAGCGCCCCAACCTGCAAAAGAATATACCAGTCAATTACTCATGTACACAAAATTTTAAATCGGCGAATAAGAGATGTGCACATGTGGACTGGCACCTGAGACAACAGATCATGTTCTCCAAGACTGTCCCAAATACAACATATCAAGGCAAAACTTTTGGCCAAGAGAACCATCAGTGCAATACCAATTTTACGGCTCGCTGAGTGAATTACAAAAGACAGTGAAGTTTATTCCTCAAACAACGTTGCAGATACAGATAATTTATTTCAAGTGAACGAAAGAAGAAGAATTATTCATGTACAGGAAATCTTTCAACTCTGGAGATGAGCACAAGAAGCATGTAAGTATAAACTAGATTAGCAGTTTAAAACCATGCTCCATCAGCCTTAAGGGCCACACAAGAAGCATGTGAGGATAAACTAGATCAGCAGTTCAAAACCATGCTCCAACAGCCTTAAGGGCCCCACAAGAAGCAGGTAAGGATAAACTAGATCAGCAGTTCAAAACCATGCTCCATCAGCCTTAAGGGCCACACAAGAAGCATGTAAGGATAAACTAGATCAGCAGTTCAAAACCATGCTCCAACAGCCTTAAGGGCCACACAAGAAGCAGGTAAGGATAAACTAGATCAGCAGTTCAAAACCATGCTCCATCAGCCTTAAGGGCCACACAAGAAGCATGTAAGGATAAACTAGATCAGCAGTTCAAAACCATGCTCCATCAGCCTTAAGGGCCACACAAGAAGCATGTAAGGATAAACTAGATCAGCAGTTCAAAACCATGCTCCAACAGCCATAAGGGCCACACAAGAAGCATGTAAGGATAAACTAGATCAGCAGTTCAAAACCATGCTCCAACAGCCATAAGGGCCCCACAAGAAGCATGTAAGGATAAACTAGATCAGCAGTTCAAAACCATGCTCCAACAGCCTTAAGGGCCCCACAAGAAGCATGTAAGGATAAACTAGATCAGCAGTTCAAAACCATGCTCCAACAGCCTTAAGGGCCCCACAAGAAGCAGGTAAGGATAAACTAGATCAGCAGTTCAAAAACCATGCTCCAACAACAGCCTTAAGGGCCCCACAAGAAGCAGGTAAGGATAAACTAGATCAGCAGTTCAAAACCATGCTCCAACAGCCTTAAGGGCCCCACAAGAAGCAGGTAAGGATAAACTAGATCAGCAGTTCAAAACCATGCTCCAACAGCCTTAAGGGCCCCACAAGAAGCATGTAAGGATAAACTAGATCAGCAGTTCAAAACCATGCTCCAACAGCCTTAAGGGCCCCACAAGAAGCAGGTAAGGATAAACTAGATCAGCAGTTCAAAACCATGCTCCAACAGCCTTAAGGGCCACACAAGAAGCAGGTAAGGATAAACTAGATCTGCAGTTCAAAACCATGCTCCAACAGCCTTAAGGGCCACACAAGAAGCAGGTAAGGATAAACCAGATCAGCAGTTCAAAACCATGCTCCAACAGCCTTAAGGGCCACACAAGAAGCAGGTAAGGATAAACTAGATCAGCAGTTCGAAACCATGCTCCAACAGCCTTAAGGGCCACACAAGAAGCGGTAAGGATAAACTAGATCAGCAGTTTGAAACCATGCTCCATCAGCCTTTAGGGCCCCGAGTTAACTTACCAGGGGCTCTGCTGCTCCTCAACAACATAGAGGGTGAAGTTTTGACAATACAATGTGTATTGATGATAGATGAGAGAACAAATGTACACTACTATGGTAAATTTCAAAGTTTTACAGTTTAATTTCATTGACTGGACATAGTGAAACTGTTATCTATTTAAGTAAATTCCATTACTGTCTACCCCAGTGTTTCCCAACATAGGGTTGATGTCCCACATGGGGGGGGGACAATCTGATTGTTAAAGGAGGAAATTCGAAAATGGCCTTGTCCAGAGTTTAAGTTACATAGTTAAAAAAAAAAAGTAAAGTAAAGATCCCTTTACACGCCCTTAGGCGCATCGGGTATATGGGAAGAGCACCCATATTTTTACAGACCAATTGGCACTAGGTGGGTAATGTGGTCAGCATTACGCAGGCCGTCTTTACTTTCCCAGGACAGCCCATCCTGGTACCCATTTGAGGCTGGGTCGACCTGCGACGTCCCATACCACGATTAAAATCCACGCAGCCCACGCAGGTTTCGATCACGGTACGTTGGAAGTTACATAGAGGGCACAATAATTATACAAAGGCTTAGATGGGGCACATCACACAAAAAGTTGAGAAATAATGGTCAACCCCCATCTTTCTCAGCTCCTTAAGAGTACTACTAAACACCATTATCTTGTAAAGCATAAGGCCTTGTATAAGATCCAGACCAGCACCCGGGGCTTCTCACATCAACGACTGCCATTGGTTTCTCTTGAATGACCTAGTTTCCTCAATCCCTCTATATCCCATTTGGTGATTTGCTGTTCGTCTCTTCTCAAAATGTGTCCAATATATATCTTATAACTGTTGATACTAGTGGTTGCCATCTTTGAACTGTCATTGTGACGCCGCTATGTTCATTGCACCCTGATGTCACAAGCTTAACACTCTTGACATCCTTAACAATAACATATTTCTGTTTAGAGCTATATAAGATTGTACTAGCAGCGGCAGCAACAGCAGCAGCAACAGTAATAGCAGCAGCTGGATAAAACAAACTTACCTCCTTCAAACTGAGTATTGTGCGGCCGATGTCATCCAAGTCTGGAGGCGACAGGGCTAACCCAAGCAGAGCCTTTGGTTCACCCATGTCGAAGAGCTTTGTTTTCAGCACCAAAGAGTCCAGTGGTGACCTCTATAAAAAACAATCAAATGTGTGAAATCCAGACAATCAACGGGCTTTTGTTACACAAAGAGATACAGATGTGCTGGAGGGTACAGTAGTGGGGATTGTCCAAGAGAGTAAAAGCAAATGATCCTTTTCCACACCTTCGGACATATTGGGCAAATAGGGCCAGACCTATATTTTATACACCAATTGGCACTCGGTGGGTGATGTGGTTAACATCATGCCGGCCACCTTTACTTCCCAGGGCTTTACCTGGTACCCATTTAAGAATGGGTCAGTCTTAGGGTCAAGATCATTTTTGAAAGAAGGCTAACCTGGTCAACAAATATCTGCAGAAGTCAGATATGTCGGATGAAAGGTACAAATACCGCAACCATACTGCATGACCTAATTACATCTTCGGATGAACACAGAAAAAAGAAGAAGAAAGAAGTCTGGCTCCGTTCAGATTTGAACTGAAGATCTTCAGATCCTCAAGTCCAAGACAGTGGTGATGCTATTTCATTGTCATCTAGGCGCTAAACCCTTGTTTCAAGAAAAATTAATTTCTCTCTGACGTGGCATATAAAAATTGTGTACTTGGATAACAAGTGATAATTTACATTGATATATATATGCAGTAGGAATTCAAATTCAAGTGGAAATCGAAAAGATAGCCTAATGGTGCTGCCCCGGCAAAATTTAGAGTTAAAAATCTACACAAAGTATTTCAGGATTATCGCCAGTTTCGTGCACTGCGCTGAGAAACTTCTGACTCATGCCTGAGTTAGAAGTATAACGGAGCACTTATGGGTTACACCCGTATGCCATGATTTTGATCTGTCGACTAGACTAAACTAGGAACTCAAATGTCTGCCTTCTGCATACAGTGAAGTGGCAAACAACCCTGAAAATGCAATTAGGTGAAGATAGCCAAAATTACATGTAGGTGACACTGGTCTTGTGCAAGTGCACGTGGGTGGACAAAATCAAAAGAATGACAAGAAGAAGCAACAGGGAGTGGCCAGTTGATCCGGCTGACACTTTTCTTCTTCTTAATGTCCACTGGCTAAAAACCCTGACAGAAAGTTCTGGCTGTTTGCCTACTTCTGGACTTGAGTCTTGTTCCAGAACTTGAGTTATTCGTGTACATTTGTTTTACAGAAAGTGTATTGATCGGCACTTATAGAAAGAAGTAGAAAGATAGAAAAACACACTAGACAACATAAAAATCGAAAGCTATAGTTACCATGCCGGGAAGTGAACCTGTCACCTCCAGACGGCGTGTGTGCCTCGCCATGAATACAAGTGCACTAAGAACATGGTTAACCAGGCACCCCCCCCCCCCCCCCCAAAAAAGGTGTCTTATTGGCCATGTCTATAGTACAGCTTGAAATCCATTTATTTATTTACAGGCCTGTACGCAGACACTTCCTCATTGTTCAGGTAGATGCACTCTGACTTCAAAGGAAACATCTCTAATTACAACATGCTTGTTGGGGAAAGAAAGTGAGCAGTGGATAACTTCCCTCCCCAACACAATTGGGCCCCTGATCTACACAGGGAGGCCGACACTCGACACTCAGAGGACTGGCAAGACAGACATATAATCTAAATGGAATGGCAAGACAGACATATAATCTAAATGGAATGGCAAGACAGACATATAATCTAAATGGAATGGCAAGACAGACATATAATCTAAATGGAATGGCAAGACAGACATATAATCTAAATGGAATGGCAAGACAGACATATAATCTGAATGGAATGGGAATCTGAATGGAATGGCAAGACAGACATATCTATGGAATCTATAATCTAAATGGAATGGCAAGACAGACATATAATCTAAATGGAATGTAAAGACAGACATATAATCTGAATGGAATGGCAAGACAGACACATAATCTAAATGGAATGGCAAGACAGACAGATAATCTAAATGGAATGGCAGATATATAATCTAAATGGAATGGCAAGACACACATATAATCTAAATGGAATGGCAAGACAGACAGATAATCTAAATGGAAAGGCAAGATATATAATCTAAATGGAATGGCAAGACAGACAGATAATCTAAATGGAAAGGCAAGATATATAATCTAAATGGAATGGGAAGACACACATATAATCTAATTGCTACTGGTACTTTTAATTGGGAAATTGTCGGTGTCTGTGGCTTAGGCGTTGCGCTTTGTAATCCCAGGGTGCCGAGTCTTGCGCCTTGCATTGGTTTCGACAGAGGTATCGAGAAGCTGACCATTCAGAAAGCAATGGCAAACTACTGGACATAAACTTGCCTAGAAAAAAACCACATCAGCCAAAAAAATGCTGGGGTTGGTTCTGCAACATCCTGTAAAGGATACACAACTAACATAACTTTTAGAATTGAAACTTTTCACCAGATAAAGATGAGGATGGAGTGAGTACGCATGGGGGTTCTTATCATAACACTGCAGCAAAGCGAGAGTTACTTCCCATCCCATTCATGCCGCGGCCGGTCGTAGGTTGTGTGGGTGTCATATATCCCTTAGTTGAGCTGAGTCAAGAATTGACTTCACAGAACTCGGGGCATTCCCATGCATGCTCCGTCCTCATCTTCAGCAGCCAGCGCAGAGTTCCAATACTGATGGTACCGGTCACAATCTAGTTAAATGTCCGTCTTGCCTTTCCTCTGAGTGTAGTCAGTTGGCCAGACCCTCTGGTTACACCCAGGTGCCTCATTATTTATCCCTTATTTTCAATGGTTTAACAGTTTTTTCTTGTGTTGTGACTGCTCACTTGCGAGACTGCTCACTTGCGAGACTGCTCACTTGCGAGACTGCTCACTTGCGAGACTGCTCACTTGCGAGGCTGCTCACTTGCGAGGCTGCTTACTTGCGAGGCTGCTCACTTGCGAGGCTGCTCACTTGCGAGGCTGCTCACTTGCGAGGCTGCTCACTTGCGAGACTGCTCACTTGCGAGACTGCTCACTTGCGAGACTGCTCACTTGCGAGACTGCTCACTTTCGAGACTGCTGCTCACTTGCGAGACTGCTCACTTGCGAGACTGCTCACTTTGCGAGACTGCTCACTTGCGAGACTGCTCACTTGCGAGACTGCTCTCACTTGCGAGACTGCTCACTTGCGAGACTGCTCACTTGCGAGACTGCTCACTTGCGAGACTGCTCACTTGCGAGACTGCTCACTTGCGAGACTGCTCACTTTCGAGACTGCTCACTTGCGAGACTGCTCACTTGCGAGACTGCTCACTTGCGAGACTGCTCACTTGCGAGACTGCTCACTTGCGAGACTGCTCACTTGCGAGACTGCTCACTTGCGAGACTGCTCACTTGCGAGACTGCTCACTTGCGAGATTACTGGTACGTTGTGCTACTTGCACGACGTTTTGTGAGTAGTGAAACTGGGATGTTTTTGTATTTCTACTATCCTTGGTGGTCACTTTTTTTCTGGGTAAAAGCCACCGCTACGGAATGTAGAAATAAGAAATAAAAGAGACCATAAGAGTTCAAAGGTGCACACACAAAAAAAAAAACATTCATATACCTGCATTTCTGGGGTCCCATATTCCAGAAGAACAGAATTATAGAACCATTGAGGGACCATGTAATAGACACGTCCATTAGAGACTCTGCCAGCCCGACCTAATTCAAGAATGAGTCATTATAAACATATACAAATTAAATACAGCTTAGGCATTTTGTTAGAAGGACAAGAGTTTATGTGTTCACTATTTCATCACTTCTGCAATGCCTGAATCTATAGCTGTACAACAGTAGTAGAGCTAACATATATGCATCAAAAGTTTGTTTGTGACACGAATGACTCATTATAAACATGTAGAAATTAAATCAGTTACCAGCACTTTGATGAAAGGACAATTTGTTGCTGACATCTGAGCTAATATGCTGAGTACAAGCATTCACTATTTCATCACTTCTGTAATGCCTGATTCTATCGCCATTTAAGAGTAAAGATAACCTTTATGTATCAAAAGTTGGAGTACAAATAAGATATGAAAAGACAAATACAGTAAAAACACCAATGAAAGATAAGCAGATCTAACACTAGAGACTAATTACATCTTTCATATATCTTTATTTATTTGAAGGAACAAATGTAGATAAACACACTGTTAACACATTTAATAGTGATCTGTGTAAAAAAAAATTTTGGGGGGGTGGGGGGATTCTTTTCAGGAATTCTATAGGTGTTATCACCCCTTTTTTCCCCTCCAGGTCAAAGTGGTTAACATTCCTTCCACTTAATCACAACTTCTACTCAATCACAACTTACTTCTACTCAATCACAACTTACTTCTACTCAATCACAACTTACTTCTACTCAATCACAACTTACTTCTACTCAATCACAACTTACTTCTACTCAATCACAACTTACTTCTACTCAATCACAACTTACTTCTACTCAAACACAACTTACTTCTACTCAATCACAACTTACTTCTACTCAATCACAACTTACTTCTACTCAATCACAACTTACTTCTACTCAATCACAAATTCTACTAAATCACAACTTACTTCTACTCAATCACAACTTCTACTTAATCACAACTTCTCCTCACTCACAACTTCACAAACAGAGAAATATCTGAAAATGGCCATCACCTTTCCTCTGTTTTGTGTTGGCTTTGGAAGCCCACTCCAGCACCAACTGTGGGTAGTTGGTTTCTGGGTCACAGCACAGGCTTTTGGTCAGGCAGAAGTCAATCACTGCCAGGAGAAAACAACCACAGAATCTTTTCATAGAAGACCACAGTTTTTTTTTTTTTTTTTTTTTAAATAAATTCCACAAAAGTACTTAGACTTCCCAGAAAACATCCATAATTAGTCACTCAATACCCCTGTGTGGGTTCCGGGGCCCCATTGTGGGGAAAACAAGAATGGACCCACTGCCTCCCCAAAAGCATGTCATAAGAGTCGACTAATTGGGGAGCTTCCTTTGAGGTCGGAGTGCATCTGCCGGAGAGGCAAGGAACCAACAGTCTGTATTCAAGAGAATGAGATCTGTAAAACTGATGCACACACAACACTCAGGTTCTGGAGCAGGACTGCAGTTCAGTACTGGACGAGCAACCAGAACTTTCCGCCAGAGTGTACAGCTGGTGAACGCGAAGAAGAAGAAGTCACTCAATAGGGCCCAGAACACACATGTCTTGACTAGTTTTAAGCCATAGTGCTGTTGTACCACCACATGCGGCGGTTCAGCACCTCTCTAGATATGTTTGTTGTTCTTTTTCCATGTATTCTCTGATGGATAGTCCTGGTTGTGACCTCTGATTAACTCTTATTTTCAGTTTATCATTCCCAGTGTGGGTCTCAGGGGTGTGGGGGTGACAGTCCCATTGCTTCATAAAAAGTGTCTTGTAACAGCAACTAATTAGGGATTTGCTAAATTAGATGTGTTGGGCCGAAAAGTGCAGATACTGCAGCCTAGCTGTAAACTACAACAAAGCTTGTCAATCACCCTTTCAAGGATAAATGCAGAAGAAGAAGAAGAAGAAGCTTCTAAGTGATAACCCTGGCAGAAAATGAAATTCCTGACAGAGATACCAAGCCACGTGGATGTGGAAACAAGTGGATACAAGTGCACACAAATGGACACATGCAGACACAAGTGCACACAAATGGATACTTGTGGATACAAGTGAACAAGTGCAGGGAAGGCTTTGTTGCCGGCCGGCACTTTTCGCTTTTTAAATAAGTGATGTCATAATTAGATTATTGCGATGTAATTATGTCACAATTGTAATAAATGTGATTTCCCCCCCCCTCGCAAATAATATATCATAATATCATAATATATCAAATAATATAGTATCTAAATATATCCACCACATCTACACACTAGACAGTACAAAGGCCACTACCCAAAGCCCGTAAACTCTGGAAAATTGTTATTGTATTATTGTACTGTGTTATTGTATTCAAGATAAGTAATCTTCTTCTTCTTCTTCGTGTTCAATAGCTTTAAACTATGGTGGAAAGTTCTGGTTGTTCATCCACTTCTGGACTGCACTCCTGTTCCAGAACCTGATTGTTGTGTGTGCATCCATTTTACAGATCTGAGTCATTTGTATGCAGACTGCTGGTTCCTTGCCTCTCAGGCAGATGCACTCCAACTTCGAGAGGAAGCTCTCAATCAGTCGACTCTTACAACATGCTTTTGGGTAGGCAGTGGGTCTATTCTTGTTATCCTTATAATAGGACCCTCACAGGGAAAGATAAGTAATAAAACCTTATAGGATCACAAGTTTTTTTTAAATTATTATTTTGATTTATTATGCAGACTATTGGTTCCTTGCTTCTCAGGCAGATGCACTCTGACTTTGAAAGAAACACCCCTAATTAGTCCACTCTTATGGCAGGCTTGTTAGGATGGTGGCCCAAAACCCACACATGTGGAACAGACATACACATAAACAATGTTATATAATCAGTGAATGAAAAGACAAATCTGTATTACCATATTTAATATCTGGAACTGTGATGGAGCTTTCTGCAATATTGGTAGAGACAATCACCTGTAGACAGAAGAGAATATATAAACAGTTGTTATCAGCTGCTGGAGCTATGAAGTTTGTGCTTTGTGCCACATTCTTGTGGGCAAACAGCTACTCTGCAGAGGAGACTAAACATATGAGACAGAACTGGGGGCAAGGAAGCTGATCCTCTCACCTGTGAATACCTTTTATTAGCAAAAGGAATCGACCATAGATGCCTAGAGATGCATGGCTAGTTCTGTACTAAGCAGTGCAGATATACCTCAGGGTTGAAGACTGGGGCTTAATAAATAGTTCTCCTCCTTTAACTAGGGGTATCCATACTTCTATATCAAGTGATCACTGATTAATAATCCACATCACAGCACTCTGGGAACACCCACAGATGCTTCGTCTCCCGCATCAAATGTCTTGAGGTGGAGATGTTAACTGTTCCCTTAGCAAACTAATTACGAACTAGTCGTTCTCTCCCTCTCTTGTGTTTTGCGTGCACAGCTGTCTCAAGTATCTGGCTCACTGGTATGCAGACTGTTGGTTCCTTACCTCTCAGGCAGAAGTACTTAGACTTCAGAGAAACCATCCATAATTAGTCACTCAATAGGGCCTAGAACACACATGGGGTCATGACTAGTTATAAGCCCTGGTGCTGTTGCATCACCACATAGAGTTCGGCACCTCCCGATACGTGAAGTTTTGCATGCACAGATCTGGCTCAGTTGTATGCAGACTGTTGGTTCCTTGCCTCTCAGGCAGATGCACTCTGACTTCAAGGGAAACATCCCTTGGGGAAAGGGGGAGGAGGGGCAGTTGGTCTATCTCTCCTCCCAAAACATGGCCCTGGAACCCACACAGAGGCATGTTTATTCAATGAATGGCTACTTGCTGCCTCTTCAGATTAGAACAAGTTGAAGCCTTTAGAGAGGTCAGACAAAGCCCACAACAACCTCATAACAGTAAGCACATGTGTTCTTGACCAAGATGACATCATATAATAATTGGGAGAAAAAAAAAGAAAAAGAAAACAACTCAAAATCTTTAGTTAAACTCCTAACTATGCTTCTGTAATACATTTTAAACATCTGCTGAGGAAGACTAAGCACTAGCAAATTGGTCTGGAGTGTAACAACATTAACAAACAAAACAGATGCCCTAGAAGAACATTCCTTGCCTTTCTGTATCCTCGGGCAGGTTTTTTGAAAGCTTTATTCTGTTCCTCTAGAGTGATAGTTGAATGAAGAGGGATGATGTCCAAGCTGAAATAATGCAAGCAGACAACACACACAAAAATAAACACAAAAACAGGTGGCAAAAGGTTACTGTCATTGACTTTGTTAAGTTCAGATGTAACAATGAATTTAGTATGATGATCTTTTTTGGTTAGTTAGTTGGGTTATCACTATTGCACTCCAGACATGTCCATATGTGCTCAGATCCTCCCCTCAGTGTGAACCCCAGCATCCGCTGGCTAATAGTACCAGTTCTATGTTGAGTAGCAAGTCCTCTGATTGCTATGCCGATCTTAACTCCCAAGTCTTGTGGGATGATGATCTTATGTCAAGCCCAATCATCCACACAAACCTTACTATAACTCAAGGATAATTACCTTCTTATTCTTCTTATAGACCATGCTGTGTGGAGTTAGCAATCATGTCCATCTAGTCTTCTGTCTCGTGTACCTTTCAGTCTGTTTTGCACAGATGATCCTCCAGGCCATGATGTCAAACTGTCCAGCATCTTCACTCTTGGTCTTCCTCTGCCTTTTTCTCCTCTAACCTTCACACTGTCATGATGTATCCCAGCTTTATCCTTCTCAGGACAGGACCGAAGAATGTAGACTGTCTCTTTCTGATGTGGGCAATCAGTTCTCTTCGTGAGTCAGTTTCTTTTAAGACATCTTCATAACTCTTTGTACCCGTCCAGGGTGTTCCCATCATTCATCTATAAAACCACATCTCTGCTGCTTCCACATAATTTTCAACTAATCAGCTAATTGTCCTGTTAATTGTTCTTTAACTGACATCTTGAACATATAGTTATCTTGTATGTCCTTCACAGTCTTACCCATAGCACAAGCATTTCATTATATATTCATGTCACTGCTAAAAGGTGTGCACAGGAGGCCCAGTTACATTATAGTTCTTCTTCTTCTTCATATGCACCAGGTGTAAACTTTGGTAGAAAGTGCTGGCTGTTCATCCACTTCTAGACTTAACCCAAGACTTGAGTTTTGCATGCATATCCATTTTACTGATCTGGCTTATCTGTACACAGACTGTTGGTTTTTCTCGTTTCTCATACAGATGCACTCAGACTTTGATGAAAACAACCCTAATTAGTTGACTTTTATGAGATGCGGTTGGGGGGCAGTGGGTCTAACCCCCCCCCCCCACACACACACACACGCAATAGGGCCCCAGAACCCACACACAGAAAGCAGTATACTAACAGGTCATGTGAAAAGTGGCCAAGACTTACAAGTGACTGTGCTCCAGTGGTCGGACTTGCTCCAGCATGTAGATAATTTCATGCAAGCCTGTGTGAATGGATGAAAGTTTTAGTCATGTATCTATCCACAAGTAAAACACACACAAGAATACATGTCACTCTTACTGCTCTGATTAAGTGTATCAACTATATAAAGCTTCTTTGTGAGTGTGTGTTTAAAATACATTAGAAGCTCAATTATCCAGATTCCATATTATCCTGTCACTCCACCCCCTTTAAAAAAAAAATAATTATCCGTAATGAAGAGGAAGAGGAAATAAATGCGTGAAGCAGTCATCTATCAATGACTTTTGCACAAAAACTAAACACTATATAAGTTCTGGCACTATCATCTCAGGCCACAGGCCAATCTTTCCCATTTATGAAATTACTTATCAATTAACAGTTTGTTTTGTTTTTTAAAGCTCCGTAAATATTTTCTTTTAGATTTTAAATGTGTGTCTATTCATACTGTACAGTGTACATGATTATATTCGTCCTGCAGTTAAGCTAGACATTATAAATTTTATCTCAAAATGTTAACAATATTTTTGGTGGGACTTCCTTTTCCGTAATAAATATTTAATATGTACAGTACAATACATAAGAAACATTTATAAAGTACTGGACCATATAAAGAGTTAAGAAAATGTAAGTAAAGGCGGTGTTTGATATTAAACTAATGTTTTTAATTATATGGGTGGGGTAAAAACCGAGTATTTATAGAACTCTGGAATATCCGTGTTTTTTTTTCTTAATCCGGCCTACCCTTCTGCCATATTAGGCTGGATATTGCAGTCTACTGTATAAGTAAAGAACAATTGTCAATACAGAGCCAAACTTGGCAAATGGCATTAGATTAACATTTTTACAGACTACCTGGCACCCAATGGATGATATTGTCATCATCACACCAGCCGTCTTTACTTCCCAGGAAATTCCAGGTACCCATTTTATTCTCACGTGTATTTAGGTCTCTCTATTTCTTTTGCTCTGTGGGTTCCCCTGAAAGGACTTTCCAGTTATACTAGGGGCTTCAAATAGAAACCTTAAAAATGTTATTGAAATAACCATAACCCTGCCGCTGTTTTGTAAACTTGTCAATGTTTAAAGTTTTCGCTGAAGCCCCTTCGTACTTCTATCAGTATTCTCAACGTTTGTCCTATCCGATGCCAATATCTTTTCCTCACCCCTTGATTTGCTGGAATTTGTTTCAGTTCACCTCTCTTTCTTGTAGACTAGACAGAGACAAAACATAAAATATCTGTACAAGGCTTACCTGGCAGAAAAATCAGCACAGTCCCTCTGATAGGAGCAAATCCTGTTTGACTGTCTCTCCTAGATATAAAACATGCCAGGTACATGTGAATGATTAGAATGTGAAGTTATATAAAGTAATAGAACCAGACAACTGGTAGATTAGTGAACAATTATTTGGAAGCTGCGGGGATGTGGTTTTATAGACGGATGACGAGAATACCTTGGACAGATTAAAAAGAGTAATAAGGATATTTTGAGGGAGAAAAAAAAACGACTCACGGAGAGGACTAACTGCCCAAAAAAAGACAATCTAGATTCTTCGGTCATATGATAAGAAGAAGAAAACTGGAGAACATCGTGACAGTAGGAAAGTTGAAAGTGAGGAGAGGCAGAGGGAGACAGAGAGAACAGATGCTGGACAGCCTGACATCATGGCTGCAGGATCAACTGTGTCAGAATTGACTGAAAGCACACAAGACAGAAGGATGTGGATAGACATAACTTCTAATGCCACACGGCGTTAAGATGAAAAAGAAGAATGGAACTGATAATAAATTTTACACAGCATTTACAGGCTAGAGGATCTACATTTTAACCCATATGACTCAGTCTTTGTTGGAAAATACAGGGTGCAGAATAAGTTTGCATACCTTGGAAAAATAAACACATCACCAACACATTTACAAGCATAAGTGCTTTATTAATATCTTACCCCAAACAGGGAAAATCCACAGGTCAGGGGACAGTCTAATATTTCAGGGGGTGGTAGATAGGCTGCATGCAGCCGTGGGACCTAGGCTGCATGCAATCGTGGGACCTAGGCTGCACTCTCTCACAGGAAAGAAGGTCGGTTGGGGTTAGGGCCAGTTCTAGATGTTCTGGGGTCGTTAAAAGCATCAGCTAGCCAGGAAACCCAGTCTTACCACCCTCTAAAATGTTGGACTGTCCTGTGACATCATCTGGGGTGGGATATTAATAAAGAACCCAAGCATAACCCCAACTGTGCTTATATGCTCTCTTCTGCAGTGGAGGAAACAAACAAATATGTGTTTTCGACCAGTAGGTTTTTTTTTTTTTTTTTAATTTGTAGGGACATCCTGCCCAAAGAGTTCAAGTCCACACTGAGATGGATTTTTTGTTTAAAACTGATCTTGTCTCCCAGGTCGACCCAGCCACAAATAAGTACCAGTGAATGTCCTGGGAAGTAAAGGTGGTCATCATGTCAATCTTATCTCCCATCAAATGCAGATATATCTATAAAAATCTAGGTGTAGCACTATATACCCAATGCTCCATGTGCGGGTTCCGGGGAACAAAGAACAGGTCCACGGCCCCTCTAACATGCATGTCGCCAGAGTTGACTAATTAGAGGTGTTCCCTTCCAGGTCAGAGTGTATCTGCCTAAGAAGCCAGGAACCAACAGACTGCATACGCATAAGTTAAATCTATAAATAGATGTGCATGAAAAACTCATGTTATAGAACAAGAAGTCCAGAAGTGGACAAACAGCCAGAACTTCCTGTCGGAGTTTACAACTGGTGATCGCAAAACAGATCAAAAATATACCTGATGCGAAAAGTTATGAATAGGGATCCTTACTTTTACTGGAGTGTTTGGACTAGCCACTCTGCCTTTTGGTTACTTATTTCCACTTGCTACAATGAAGAGCACAAACTACTTCTTCTTCACCATGTTCACCAACTGTAAACTCCGGTGGACAAGTTCTCTTCTGATTGCTCATCCACTTCTAGACTCTAGTCCTGTTCCAGAACCTCAGTGTTGCATGCACATCCGTTTTACTGATCTGACTCACCTGTATGCAGATTGTCGGTTCCTTGCCTCTCAGGCAGATGCACTCCGACTTTGAAGGAAGCTTGACTCTTACAGCATGCGTTTGGGCAGGCAATGGGTCTATTCTTCTTTTTCCCACATTGGGGTCATGGAACTCACACGAGGAAGAGCACTAACTCATTGTTAATTATCCACCATCTACGTGCTGTACAGGAATCTAGTGCTCGTGTAATCAGTAAAGTAAAGGACCTCCCCATAGAAGTGGTGTGTAAGGCAGACAGTACTAGGCCCATATTTGTTTAGGCCAACTGAATGTAACCTGCAATAATGTAACCAGCAATATAATGTAACCTGCAGTAATGAAACCTACAATTTAACATATTCTGCAGTGATGTAACCTGCAATGTAATGTAACCTGCATTATTGTAACCTGCAATGTAACATAACCTGCAATGTCATGCAACCTACAGTAATTTAGCCATGAATGCAACCTACAGAATGTTAACACGCTAGTCTTTACTATCACCAGCAATGACTAGTATTGAAGCCTCTGGAACCTGCAGGCCCGCCAATCATCTAGTGTGACTACAATGAAGATCCAGCAACAGAAACAACTCACATATACTACAGTTAGTTTGTAATTGTATTTCTCATGCAATCTTTCTTTTGTCTCTCTAAAAAAGTTTCTTTTTATCTAATGCAGTCTCTCCCTTCTTTTTTTTTTTTCAATCTCTCTCCCTCCCTCCTTACCCTCCCCAATACCTCTCACTATCTATCTTTATCTCTCCATTTTTACCTAGTCTTATAGTTGTTTACATTTCATGACAATAGAATCAAATCTTATAGTACCGTAGACTTAAAATAAAATCAGAGCCAGATGGAAATAAATGCAGATCTTTCAAACACACACAATTATTTCAGAAACGACCATATTAGTCCATACCCTTGCTCCTTCTCCTCAAACAGGTCAAACTCTTTTATAAGCCCAACTGCCATATTGTACATGCCAGGAGAAATCCCTGGCCGGTTTTCATCAATAGGAGGGACCTGGCCAAAAAAACAATCAAACTAATTATAACAGATCATGTAATTCATTTCCAACTCCACTGTTATTATAATTAATTTAAAATTAATTAATTTTAATAAATTAAAGCTGCATTTTTCAATTCCGACAGACTCAAAATAGTTGCTCTAAGGCAGTGATTCCCAAACTGTGTGCCACAGCGCCCTGGGGAACCACAATCTCTTCACAGGGGCGCCGCAAAATATTCAAAGATACACAAGTTTTTTTTTTTTTCAATCTCTTACATATGAAAAGTCATACTTTTATTTAGATTAGGGTGCCATGGAAATATTTTAATTTAAAAAAAGGCACCGTGACTAAGACAAGCTTAGGAAACACTGCTCTAAGGTACTTCTTATTTTTCTTCTTAGAGTTAACCAGCTGTACATTCTGGTGGTTACATTCTGGTTGTTCATCCACTTCTGGACTTTGGTCTTGTTCCAGAACCTGAGTTTTGCATGTACAACCATATTACAGATCTGGATTATTTGAATGCAGACTGTTGGTTCCTTGCTTCGCAGGCAGAGGCACTCTGACTTTAAAGGATACATCCTTAATCAGTCGCTTCCTATAAAATGCTTGTTAAGGGGGAAGGGAAGGGAGGGGGTGGGGCATAGGGTCTGTTCTTTGTTCTCCAAAACGAAGCCCCGGAGGCCACACATGGACAGTGTCTGAATAAAGGGAGAATGTTGTCAAACAAAATCAAAAATTGAAGGGGAAAAGAGAGATTTCCAGGGTTAAAGGGGAGAATGTTGTCAAACAAAATCATAAAATTGAAGGAGAAAAGAGAGATTTTCAGGGTTAAATGGGAGAATGTTGTCAAACAAAATCATAAAATCTAAGGGGAAAAGAGACCTACACAGGCTTAAAGGGAAGAATGTTGTCAAATAAAAATCATAAATTGAAGGGGGAAAGAGAGATTTCCAGGCTTAAAGGGAAGAATGTTGTCAAATAAAAATCATAAATTGAAGGGTGAAAGAGAGATTTCCAGGCTTAAAGGGAAGAATGTTGTCAAATAAAAATCATAAATTGAAGGGGAAAAGAGAGATTTCCAGGCTTAAAGGGAAGAATGTTGTCAAACAAAATCAAAAATTGAAGGGGAAAAGAGAGGTTTCCAGGGTTAAATGGGGGAATGTTGTCAAACAAAATCATAAAATTGAAGGGGAAAAGAGAGGTATCCATGGTAACAGAAAATAATAGATTTAATTAATGACAATGACTGTATTCTAATTAGCATAGAGAGAATACTGACTGTATCTACATTTATGTAGGTTTTGTCTATTCACCATCAATATTCACTTGTGTACTTTGTCTATCTACTTCTCTAATATACACTTGTGTACTTTGTCTATTCCATCAATATGCACTTGTGTACTTTGTCTGTCTATCCCACCAATAACACTTGTGTACTTTGTCTATTCCATCAATATGCACTTGTGTACTTTGTCTGTCTACCCCACCAATAACACTTGTGTACTTTGTCTATCCCACCAATAACACGTGTGTACTTTGTTTATTCCATCAATATGCACTTGTGTACTTTGTCTGTCTATCCCACCAATAAACACTTGTGTACTTTGTCTATCCCACTAATAAACACTTGTGTACTTTGTCTGTCTATCCCACCAATAAACACTTGTGTACTTTGTCTGTCTATCCCACCAATAAACACTTGTGTACTTTGTCTGTCTATCCCACCAATAAACACTTGTGTACTTTGTCCCTCTAGTTAACCAATAAACACTTGTGTACTTTGTATACCAAACAAAACAAAAACAACTGTGTACTTTGTTTGAATACTCCATCAATAAAAAAGTGTGGACTTTGTCTGTCTACCCCACCAATAAACACTTCCATACTTCGTCTGTCTACTCAAATTGAAAAACTCGTCTGTGCTTTGTCTACTCTGCCAAAAAACAAGTCTGTACTTTGTCAGTCTACTCCACCAAAATACACTTGGTTAGAGTTTGTCTGCGACTCCAAGAAGCACATTCTGCAGATATGTTTTCTGTATGATCAACTGAGATATTTGCTGGCCCAGCAACACTAAACTCCAAGTTGTGCAGAAGTATGGAAAAACTGCCAACAGTGCTGCTCATTGTGAGAACTCACCTTCTTCATTTTCTGTACTGGCTGCAAACTTTGGTGGAAAGTTCTGCTTGTTTGTCCACTTCTGGACATAAGTCCTGTTCCAGAACTTGAGTGCTGCATGCGCATCCATTTTACAAATCTGACTTATTTGTGTGCAGACTATTTGTTCCCTGACTCTCAGGGAAAAAAACCTAATTAGTCACCTCTTAAAACATGCTTGTTGTGGGGGCAAGGGGGGGGGGGGGGGGGGAGGTTCCTATTATTGTCTTCCCAATAATGGAACCATAGAACCTAAATGGGGAAGAACTTACTTCACAGAAAAAAACACCAAAGATGCAACCGCAAAAAAAAAAAAAGGAACTAACAAATACCTACCTCTCCCAGTCGAGGTGCCAGCTCATCAACAAAAAACTCAGAGACATGGTGATGTGCTGTGCCAACTGTCACAACTGGTGCCGGTTCTAAATGGTTGCCTACAGGTAGCCGAAAATACTGGGAAAACACTGCAGTGTCAAACGTGGCAGACATCAGGACCACCTGAATACGACAGACATTGTGGAATCCGAAATCAGACATGATGTAAAGACATTAAATTTTTCTGTTGCGGTTTACAGATAGGCTGTAATATTCTTGAGTTTTAAGGCAAATCTCTGTTTTAAGCAAATCTTTAATAAGTTTTTACAATACGCTAGTTAGGGGGTGAAGGAATTCCAGAGAAATTTGACTAAAAAGCTCAATAAAATGGGGAAGCAGAAAAATGGGCACAAAACAACGTAACGTTTTGACCGGGCGGCCTTTTTCAAACATAAGTGAACTACACAAACATAACAACGAGGAGATGACAGTATGTAGATCTCTAAGGGGTGACATGAGCAACGTTTAAAAAAATGTGGTGTGGAATAAATGAAATAAAAAAAAAACGATAGCTAAAAATAGTTAGGGGGTGGTGGGTCCATTCTACTTTTATCCCCAAAAAAAGGGTCCACGATCCAAAACGAGGAACCCCAATCCACAACTTAGGTCACATTACAACAACAGTTAGTTGCGTATCCTTTACAAGACATTGCAGAAGCAACACAGCATTATTTGGCTGTTGTGGTTTTCCTAGGCAAATTTTCCGTTCAGTAGTTTGCCACTGCTTTCTGAACGGCCAGCTCTCTGTAGCAATGTCGAAACCAACGCAAGACACACCATGCGCAGCAGGGGTCGAACCCGGCACCCCAGCATGACGAAGTTACAATAACAATGTGGATTTATTACATTGAGTTCAAATGAATTTTGCAAACTGGATCAACCTTTACACCATAAATGATGGAAATCATATTGAAGACATTTAATGTTATAAATGAATAAAATGGTTTTTTTTTTTAAACATTTCTTGAAAATATGTATTGTGCCCTATGTGTCAAGACTTTAGGGACCCCCTAGTTATATGGTGCTCAATCAATATTTTCACAGACCACACCCGACAAGCGATATGGTCAGCTTATTGGGTTTATTTTCAGAACATTTTCAGCTATTTTTATTTTGCCAACATGGGCGCTGAGGCCAATATTAAAAATCTATCGTGATGGAGATCTAATGACTCCTGTAAAAACACCGAGCTTAAATAATTCCTTCCACTCTTCTGTTTCCAACAGCCTCAACCAGCAAAGTCAATGGAGCAGCACCCTCAAAGAGGTTGTGATGTCTCCCGCAGTTTAAAAACCTGCAAAAATCCAACCTTATTGAGCATGTGTTATTTTGTACTATGAGGAGGCATGGGACTCACAGCCTATCATGATAGTGAGTGTGACTAGTAAAACCCGCCCACATAATTAAGTCTTTCACAATTACAGCACTTCAGGACCGCTGTTGCCATCACATGTATTTAGTGTACATCCTCTCAGATTCTCAGTTCTCAACCTTTCTGCAACCATTCTTTCCTTCATTCCTATTCCCTTCCTTCTTCGTTCGCCTGAAATAAGTTGTCTTTATCAACAATTTTTTCTCTTGTATAAATTTCAGTTCATTCAGTGGTCCATAGAGTTTACGTTCACCTGTTGTTCTTTCTGGCCAAAAGGTTTGCCATATTGTGTCAAATTCGGTGCAGTTCTGGAGTACATGCTCTGCTGTCTAGGGCACCTTTTCACAGGTGCACATGGCTGATATGCCTATCTTGGTTTCAAATTGCTGCCATAGCTGGGGAAAGGGAGTTGAGGATGACCTCTCAACTCTCACCAAATACCCCTAAGGCATGTGCATTCGTCACCTCTGACAGCAAAAGTACAACTTCTGTTTAAACGAACAGGAGAAGGGGCGACGGCGAGTATCTGGTGCCGTAAAACCAGACTGCTCCTCAAGTATTTAATAATACAACCCTAGCAAAACAGGGTGCTGAAGTCGGAGGCAACCAGCAAAGGAGGCCCATCACAGCAATCAGGATGCAACACACACACGCCTTGGAAATATGTCTATTAACTTCCTGATTTCCCCTTTCCACTCATCATAGTCCATGGCATCTGGTTCACATGAATCCACCTCAATACCTGCATTATTCAAGTCCCATTTATATCTTTATATCATACTAGAGGCTGGTCTCGATAACTTCGACCCATCTGTAATACACCACAAAGAATGTCCTTAGGAACTCTGCCATCCACCATTCTGCAAGTGTGACCCAGTCACCTGAGCCTTCAAAGAGTCAGCATTGTTGTGGTACCTGCTCTTTTTAATACCTCATTTCTAATCAACAGAATTCACAAAAACTAGCAGTATTATATTTTATCTACTTCTTCTTCTTCTTCTTCTCTTCCACCTTGTACCTCATCGAAGTGTCGGGGGGAGATGTAATGTTCGTTGATGGGCTCTGTAAAGAGCACTATTAAGACTGATGTTCATTTCTTTAAGGCTGTTCTTAATGCCATCACTCCATCTTTTCCGAGGTCTTCCACTCGCTCTATACTTGTTGTAACGTTTTAGTGTGGCTCGCTGTGGCGGATATTACCAGGGCATTCTTGTTAGGTGTCCGAACCACTTCATTTGTTGTTCTTTGATGACCTGTAAGACTGGCTTTATTCCTAGCATTCATCTGATTTCATGATTTCATATTCTGTCTTTCCTTGAAACTCCTGCAGCTCTTCTAAGGCATTTCATCTCTGTTGTCACAAATTTACGTTCATTGGAGGATGTAAGTGTCCACGTTTGGCATTGATAGCATAGTGTTGGCCAAAAAATAGTTCTGATAAGATTCACTTTAGTCTCCGAGGTATCTGCTTGTGTGTCAACAGGGGAGATAGTTGACCCATTACTTGATTAGCTTTAGCACATCTGGAGCTAATTTCTCTGTCCAGTTTTCCGTCAGATGTAAAAATTGCTCCCAAATACTTAAATTCCTCTGTTTGTCTCAGGGTGTTGTTTTTTAATTTAATTTCTAAATTGTCTTTATGTCATCCTATCATCATTGTTTCTGTCTTCATAGTGTTTATTTTCATATTATATTCCTCCCCTTTGTTACTAATTTGATTTAGATGGTTCTGTAGGCATTCCGTATTTTCTGCTATGAGTACCTGGTCGTCGGCGAAAAGTAATTCTGTAATATCTTCTTCATGATTAAAGTTCATTTCGCTACATATGGTATCCATGTATGTTATAAAAAGAAGCGGCGATAGTACACAGCCCTGACGCACACCAGAGTTCACTATAAAAGTTCTTGACAACCCTGCCTTCGATCTTATGCAGCATTTACTACGTGTCTACAGGCTTTTGCAAATATTAATGAGATGATTGCTGATTCCTTTTTTTCCCATACATTCCCACAACATATTCCTGTCGACTCTATTGAATGCTTTTTCTTGGTCTACGAATGTCAACAAACATGTCTTATCATGTTCTATTGCTCTCTGATAGTTGTCTCAATGTATAAATGGCATCTGTGCAACTTCTGTTTCGTCGAAAGCCCATTTGTGCTTCTGAAAGTTTATACTCTATCAATGGCTATAGTCCCAGTAAATTCTGGCCACATTATGACAGGAAAGTATTTGGAAAATGCTGTGATACCTGGAAAGATTTGTGGAAAGAGAGATAAAGGATGACAACATCATAAGATTCTTGACAGCCTCCTGTCATGGCATGGGAGGGTATCAACACATGAAAAGATGCATGCTTTCATAGCCGATGCATCTTCTATGTCTTGTATCCACCACTGCGGAGGCGTGTCTCTGCCTCATTTTCTGGAAACAATACCATCACTTTTCTTTCCAGGCCAACTAGACGTTTAACATGGTCAAATTACCTCAGCTTTCAGGACAGGATTCTGTTTATGAGCCAATTCTCCTCAATGCTCAGATCATGTATTACAGTGGTTCTCAACTGTCTTAATGCTGCCACCCTTTAATAGTTCCTCATGTTGTGGCCACCCTTTAATAGTTTCTCATGTTGTGGCCACCCTTTAATACAGTTCCTCATGTTGTGGCGACCCTTTAATACAGTTCCTCATGTTGTGGCCACCCTTTAATAGTTCCTTATGTTGTGGCCACCCTTTAATACAGTTCCTCATGTTGTGGCCACCCTTTAATAGTTCCTCATGTTGTGGCGACCCTTTAATACAGTTCCTCATGTTGTGGCCACCCTTTAATAGTTCCTCATGTTGTGGCCACCCTTTAATACAGTTCCTCCTGTTGTGGCCACCCTTTAATAGTTCATGTTGTGGCGACCCTTTAATACAGTTCCTCATGTTGTGGCCACCCTTTAATAGTTCCTCATGTTGTGGCCACCCTTTAATAGTTCCTCATGTTGTGGCCACCCTTTAATAGTTTCTCATGTTGTGGCGACCCTTTAATAGTTTCTCATGTTGTGGCCACCCTTTAATACAGTTCCTCATGTTGTGGCGACCCTTTAATACAGTTCCTCATGTTGTGGCCACCCTTTAATACAGTTCCTCATGTTGTGGCTACCCTTTAATACAGTTCCTCATGTTGTGGCAACCCTTTAATACAGTTCCTCCTGTTGTGGCCACCCTTTAATACAGTTCCTCATGTTGTGGCCACCCTTCAATACAGTTCCTCATGTTGTGGCGACCCTTTAATACAGTTCCTCATGTTGTGGCGACTCTTTAATACAGTTCCTCATGTTGTGGCCACCCTTTAATACAGTTCCTCATGTTGTGGCCACCCTTTAATACAGTTCCTCCTGTTGTGGCAACTCTTTAATACAGTTCCTCATGTTGTAGCAACTCTTTAATACAGTTCCTCATGTTGTGGCCACCCTTTAATACAGTTCCTCCTGTTGTAGAAACTCTTTAATACAGTTCCTCATGTTGTAGCAACTCTTTAATACAGTTCCTCATGTTGTGGCCACCCTTTAATACAGTTCCTCATGTTGTGGCGACCCTTTAATACAGTTCCTCATGTTGTGGCCACCCTTTAATACAGTTCCTCATGTTGTGGCTACCCTTTAATACAGTTCCTCATGTTGTGGCAACCCTTTAATACAGTTCCTCCTGTTGTGGCCACCCTTTAATACAGTTCCTCATGTTGTGGCCACCCTTTAATACAGTTCCTCATGTTGTGGCCACCCTTTAATACAGTTCCTCATGTTGTGGCGACTCTTTAATACAGTTCCTCATGTTGTGGCGACTCTTTAATACAGTTCCTCATGTTGTGGCCACCCTTTAATACAGTTCCTCATGTTGTGGCCACCCTTTAATACAGTTCCTCCTGTTGTGGCAACTCTTTAATACAGTTCCTCATGTTGTAGCAACTCTTTAATACAGTTCCTCATGTTGTGGCCACCCTTTAATACAGTTCCTCCTGTTGTAGAAACTCTTTAATACAGTTCCTCATGTTGTAGCAACTCTTTAATACAGTTCCTCATGTTGTAGCAACTCTTTAATACAGTTCCTCATGTTGTGGCCACCCTTTAATACAGTTCCTCATGTTGTGGCCACCCTTTAATACAGTTTCATATGTTGTGGCCACCCTTTAAAACAGTTCCTCATGTTGTGGCCACCCTTTAATACAGTTTCATATGTTGTGGCCACCCTTTAATACAGTTTCATATGTTGTGGCCACCCTTTAATACAGTTTCATATGTTGTGGCCACCCTTTAATACAGTTTCATATGTTGTGGCCACCCTTTAATACAGTTTCATTTGTTGTGGCCACCCTTTAATACAGTTTCATATGCTGTGGCCACCCTTTAATACAGTTTCATATGTTGTGGCCACCCTTTAATACAGTTCCATATGTTGTGGCCACCCTTTAATACAGTTCCTCATGTTGTGGCCACCCTTTAATACAGTTCCTCATGTTGTGGCCACCCTTTAATACAGTTCCTCATGTTGTGGCCACCCTTTAATAGTTCCTCATGTTGTGGCCACCCTTTAATACAGTTCCTCATGTTGTGGCCACCCTTTAATAGTTCCTCATGTTGTGGCCACCCTTTAATACAGTTTCATATGTTGTGACGACCCCCAACCAAACAATTATTTTTGTCGCTACTCCAAAACTTCAATGAAAATTTGTTTTGCAATGGTCTTTGGCGATGTATCTAAAAGGGTCATTCAGCAAAAAAAGGGTCGCGACCCATAGGCTGAAAACCGCTGATGTTGGATGTCTTGTGTTTTTATTCTGTTTAGAAGAACTCAGGATAGACTATTCTTCTTCTTCTTTGTGTTCACCAGCTGTACACTCTGGCGGAATGTTCTGGTTGTTCATCCCCTTCTGGACCTCAGTCCTGTTCCAGAACCTGAGTGTTGCATGTGCATCCGTTTTACAGACTCATTTGTATGCAGACTGCTGGTTCCTTGCCTCTCAGGCAAATGCACTCTGACTTCGAAGAAAGCTCCGAATTAGTCGACTCTTACGACATGCTTTTGGGCAGGCAGTGGGTCTATTCTTGATTTCCCTATAATAGGGCCCCGGAACCCACGCGGAGAATGACTGTATTAAATAACCACATGAACTCAAATGCATAACATAATTACACATTGCCCATCAAATGCATAACATAATTACACATTGCCCATCAAATGCATAACATAATTACACATTGCCCATCAAATGCATAACATAATTACACATTGCCCATCAAATGCATAACATAATTACACATTGCCCATCAAATGCATAACATAATTACACATTGCCCATCAAATGCATAAACATAATTACACATTGCCCATCAAATGCATAACATAATTACACATTGCCCATCAAATGCATAACATAATTACACATTGCCCATCAAATGCATAACATAATTACACATTGCCCATCAAATGCATAACATAATTACACATTGCCCATCAAATGCATAACATAATTACACATTGCCCATCAAATGCATAACATAATTACACATTGCCCATCAAATGCATAACATAATTACACATTGCCCACCTTGACATGGGAAGAGTTAGTTCTCAGCAACTTCTTGACTATCAAGAGCAGAAAGTCTGACTCAATGTCTCGCTCATGAACCTGTTTCCAGACAAAGAAGATCAAACTCAACAACTTCACACATACAGGTAATCAGTTAATCGCAGCCTAACAGCCAATGGGTCAGCCCATTGTTTCTCCATTCCTGTGCCAATGAAAACCACACAGAATTTCTGTTACTGTCACTTGTAAAGAAAAAAAAAAAACGGAGACAGGCTGCAATCTCAGCAAATATAACAGCATACATGTTATTTAAATGCATAAGGCTGCAGTCAGAAATGTCAACACCAACAGTCCTACACTAGGAATGCAGTCAATCGTTTATGGAAGCAGCAATTACAACAGATCAGTAGTTGCACAGATAATTAACTGCATAAGGCATCACAAGTTCTCTGGCAACAGGATGCTTGCCATTTGGGTATCTGGCATATAGAGCTTGATCTATATTTTATAGACCAATCGGCACTTGGTGGTGATGTCGTCAGCATCACGCCTGCCATCTTTACTTCCCAGGACTGCACCTGGTACCCATTTAAGGCTGGGTCGACCTGGGAGTCAATGTCATTTTAAACATTATCAATAGCATCAAAATATTCAATACAAGCACTGGAATGTGCACACATCTAACTACAGTAAACGTAGTAGTTGTAAGAAAAAGGAGAAGGGAATTTAAAAAAAAGGATAAGGGGCAGGAGAAGCAGCAGCAAGAGGAGAAAAAGAAACAGTGTGGAATCAACCCTGTCTGAGAAGAAAGCACACCTCTGACGACAGTGATGACAGCAAATCCTACCTCATCCAGTATGACATGAGTGTACTGATGCATGGACTTCCTGTTGATAAACTTCTCCTTGAGGACCCCGGTTGTGCAATACAACAGTCTGGTGTCTTCACTGATTCTACTGTCCATGCCGTACTGGAGCCAGGCAGGAACACATTCAAGTAGAGGGAAACAAATATTTTAACATCAGAACCTCATATTGGGACTCATTTTAATCAGTGAACATTTTTTTAAGAGGATCGACTTCACAGCTCCAGGTTCTCTCCCACATGGCTCGGTCTCTCTCTGCAGAACGGCTAACTGCCTGTCGAGAGCGTCACAGAGAGAACGAACTCTGCAGCTCCGGCGATAATCCCCAGGGATCTCTGTAAAAACTGCTGAAGGGCGCAGCCGTGAAATGAACCCATGATCTTTAGAGCATGAGGCAAGCGGCTTGATCGCTTCACCACGGTGACCTCCGAATCAATCAGTGAACTAATCTGACACGTGATCATTGTGAATCATACACCCATATGAACTTAAGTACGCTGCATTATCTTGAAAAATCACATGGATCTTCTTCTTCTTCTTCGCACTAGCCTTTGACTCTTTCAGTAAGAAAATATGCACCATGTGAGACTGGATTTACTCCAACGCATTAGTTAACATATTCATCATCGTCGTCATCATCATCATCCTGTAACACTGCCTGTCATTAGGTCACCAGTTTCTGATGACTGTCTGATCAGCTCCCTCCACCTTTGACGGTCAGATTCAATGGACTTCATGGTTGCATGCCTGAGGTCTGTCCAGTCAGTCAAGTTCTGTATCCAGATCTTTCTTGGTCTGCCTCTTCTCCTCTTCCTCTCTGCTGTGCTCTGTAGCATTGTTTTTGAGAAGCCATTAGATCACATGTCCATACCATTGCCTTTTCTGCCTTTTAACTGTAGTTAAAAGAGATTCATATTTGCCAATATGCTGGATAATTAACATATTATTGTGCTTGAAAATTTTATATTGAGTCTGGGCATGCTAAAACACTCAACAACACATTTGTCTCCCACAAGGAATATGTATTTAGGCCCTGCGGATGTAGCATACCTATTATTAGAATCCCAAATGATGCACTGGGACACCAACTATGACTTTCTAGGATGTAAAAATGAAAAGGTGGTTGGGGGCACAGTCTTATGATTTACAGCTAGGCTGCAATATTTGCACCTTTCAGTCCAACACACCAATTTCAGCAAGCTCCTAATTAGTTGCCATTTACCACATGCTGGAACGGCTGGCCGAGCGGTTACAACATCGGGCTCTCAGGCAGGTGACCCAAGTTCGATCCCCAGTAAGGTGATGGAGTTTTTCTGTCGGCAACAAAACATAAATATCCTAACCTCCACAGTCTGTGGTGACAGCACTAGAAAGCGGCCCTAAATCCTCAGGCTCACGACCCCTTCCCCTGTCTACCCTGCCCTGAAGAGCAGTGAATAAACTATTACACTGAGGCTCAAGACACTTCCCCTGTCTACACTGTCCTGAAGAGCAGTGAATAAACTATTACACTGAGGCTCAAGACACTTCCCCTGTCTACACTGCCCTGAAGAGCAGTGAATAAACTATTACACTGAGGCTCAAGACCCTTCCCCTGTCTGCACTGCCCTGAAGAGCAGTGAATAAACTATTACACTGAGGCTCAAGACCCCTTCCCCTGTCTACACTGCCCTGAAAAGCAGTGAATAAACTATTACACTGAGGCTCAAGACCCCTTCCCCTGTCTGCACTGCCCTGAAGAGCGGTGAATAAACTATTACACTGAGGCTCAAGACCCCTTCCCCTGTCTGCACTGCCCTGAAGAGCGGTGAATAAACTATTACACTGAGGCTCAAGACCACTTCCCCTGTCTACACTGTCCTGAAGAGCGGTGAATAAACTATTACACTGAGGCTCAAGACCCTTCCCCTGTCTACACTGCCCTGAAAAGCAGTGAATAAACGATTACACTGAGGCTCAAGACCCTTCCCCTGTCTACACTGTCCTGAAAAGCAGTGAATAAACGATTACACTGAGGCTCAAGACCCTTCCCCTGTCTACACTGTCCTGAAAAGCAGTGAATAAACTATTACACTGAGGCTCAAGACCCCTTCCCCTGTCTACACTGCCCTGAAAAGCAGTGAATAAACGATTACACTGAGGCTCAAGAAACTGTGAAACACGTTTAATTTCATATAATGTGATCACAAATAATACACTGCACAATTTTGTTGCCAGGCTTCATCTCACTGTATCTCGTCAGGTGCATTACAACAGAGTTATATCAACACACAATGAAGCATAAAAAGTGAAGTACTGAACTTCTGAAATACAAATGGTTGCTCTCGATGCATCATGGTCGTCTAGTCACTGGAAGTTAACGAAAGTCACAAGACTTACCAGGGTGATATCAAACTGATAATGAATTCTGTCTGCTTACATAAGAGAGGACTACACATTTTTATTGTTAAAGCTTCAGCCAGTCTCAGTATTTAGTTGGGCCAGAGAGGGAAAGCTCATGCTCCGCTGGATCGATAACAACAACTCAGTATTCAGTGTATGGTAAATCACACAGAAAGCATCATCATTTACTTTTACTAACATACCTGATAACCACAAACACTGCCAAGTTCCCAGCCTCGTTCGTCACAAACTCTCTGTGCAATGGAGACGGCTGCAATCTTCCGAGGCTGGGTCACAACGATGTTGCAGTACCGAGACTCCCCAGCGTAGTAATCCAGTATGTACTGGGGAACCTGAGTTGTCTTCCCTGACCCTGTGGGACCCTGGATGATGGTGACCTGATTACCCTCAATTGTGCTGACGATCTAAATAAAAAAAGTTTTTAGCACAATTACAACATTGCCTGAGAAGTTGCTAATTAAATACAGTGTATTTGTGATGATTTGCATATTTCTGAAAATAATGCTCTTCCTATTTTTGTAATCATCATCTGTGGAGTTAATGCAACAAAATACTGCTACAGCGTGTTTTATTTTGGGTAAAGTTGTCTACATTACAGCTCTATTCATAATCGATTCTACTGGTTAAAATTGTTAAGAGTAATAGGATGATGCACTTGAGTATCAGGAAATGAAACAAATTGTTGAACAACCACATTCAAATACCTGCCAAAGTGGAGGAACACATGCTCAACCACAAATACTCCAATAGTTAACACCGTTATAGCTAATATCAAGTGCATAACACCGGCATAGAACAGTCATATTCTAAACTAACGGTTACATGGCATTTGAAACATAAGGAAATGTACAAATTTTAATTACGGTGTGCAAGTAATCGATTTGAAAATGTCTACAGTCATTAAACATATATCCTATACTAAATTACAAGGTGAGTCAGAAACACCCTATACTAAATTACAGGGTGAGTCAGAAACACCCTATACTAAATTACAGGGTGAGTCAGAAACACCCTATACTAAATTACAAGGTGAGTCAGAAACACCCTATACTAAATTACAAGGTGAGTCAGAAACACCCTATACTAAATTACAGGGTGAGTCAGAAACACACTAAATTACAGGGTGAGTCAGAAACACCCTATACTAAATTACAGGGTGAGCCAGAAACACCCTATACTAAATTACAAGGTGAGTCAGAAACACCCTATACTAAATTACAGGGTGAGCCAGAAACACCCTATACTAAATTACAGGGTGAGTCAGAAACACCCTATACTAAATTACAAGGTGAGTCAGAAACACCCTATACTAAATTACAAGGTGAGTCAGAAACACCCTATACTAAATTACAGGGTGAGTCAGAAACACCCTATACTAAATTACAAGGTGAGTCAGAAACACCCTATACTAAATTACAAGGTGAGTCAGAAACACCCTATACTAAATTACAAGGTGAGTCAGAAACACCCTATACTAAATTACAAGGTGAGTCAGAAACACCCTATACTAAATTACAGGGTGAGTCAGAAACACCCTATACTAAATTACAAGGTGAGTCAGAAACACCCTATACTAAATTACAAGGTGAGTCAGAAACACCCTATACTAAATTACAGGGTGAGTCAGAAAACACCCTATACTAAATTACAGGGTGAGTCAGAAACACCCTATACTAAATTACAAGGTGAGTCAGAAACACCCTATACTAAATTACAAGGTGAGTCAGAAACACCCTATACTAAATTACAGGGTGAGTCAGAAACACCCTATACTAAATTACAAGGTGAGTCAGAAACACCCTATACTAAATTACAAGGTGAGTCAGAAACACCCTATACTAAATTACAAGGTGAGTCAGAAACACCCTATACTAAATTACAGGGTGAGTCAGAAACACCCTATACTAAATTACAGGGTGAGTCAGAAACACCCTATACTAAATTACAAGGTGAGTCAGAAACACCCTATACTAAATTACAAGGTGAGTCAGAAACACCCTATACTAAATTACAGGGTGAGTCAGAAACACCCTATACTAAATTACAAGGTGAGTCAGAAACACCCTATACTAAATTACAAGGTGAGTCAGAAACACCCTATACTAAATTACAGGGTGAGTCATGAATAAAACTACAAGTTTAAAATATATGATGTGGACCTCATTATCCACCCAAATGTCAATTGGTCTATAAAATATTGGTCTAGCACCATATGCCAAAGGGAGTCACTATGGCGTAGCAGTTAGATGCTCACCTACGGATCGGAAGGCCGTGGGTTCGCTCCTTGGCGCAGCCAGACTTTTTCCAGAAAAGACCTCGACTCCCAGGTCGACCCAGCCTTGAGTGGGTACCGAGTGCAGTCCTGGGAAGTAAAGGTAGCCGGCATGATGCTGACATCACCCATCTTGTGCCGATTGCTCTATAAAAATGTCGGTCTCGCTCTATATGCCTAAAGGTGTGGAAAAAGGACCTTACTTTTTTTACTTATTATATGGCAATACACGTAAAGGCTTGAAAAAGAGTCATTTTCTTTACTAGACAAACATAGACACCTGTAATGTTAGCTCAAAATAGCAGAATTTTAGCACCAGACAGACAGATCAGAAAAGCATTTTCCCCATGTGGGTTCTGGAATCCCATTCTGGGGAAAACACTAATAGACCCACTGCCTGCCCAAAAGCATGTCATAAGAGTGGACTAATTGGGAGCATCCTTCAAAGTCATACATCTGCCTGAGAGGCAAGGAACCAACAGTCTGCATGCAAATGAGCCAGACCTGTGAAACGGATCTGCAGGCAACACTCAGTTTCTAGAACAGGACTAGAGTCCAAAATTGGACAAACAACCAGAACTTTCCGCAGGAGTTACAGCTGGTGAATGCAACAAAGAAGAAGAAGAAGAAGAAGAAAGGTGTTTTTTTTTTAGTTTTTTTTTTAAACATGCATGTTACTTACTGTATCATGAGCCTCTAAAACAGGCAGCTGGGCATAGTTGTGTCGAAACTGATAATTCTTGTAGACATCTGTGGCATTCTCTGGAACCAGCTCTTCTACGAGTGCTGTTGATCCACCATGCAAGGTGCTGTCCATTTCCAGCCGCTCCAACTCTCCACTTACTGACTCGACTGCATCCGCAATCTGTTGAGTATTCACAAAGAGAAACATTGGAAAGAAATTATAAGAGGACATATTTCTTCTTAATTCTTCACATCAAGTTATCTAATTCTCACATTCTAAGGGTGTCTGATGCTAGTATATAGATTTGTAAGATTAACTTCCTCAAGAAGATTGCATTCTGAGAAAAATTAGACTTAAAATATCCATGGTATGTTTTATTTCCCTTTGACAATGGTGTGTGAGAAGAGATAAAATCAGAAATAAAGAAATTAGATTACGAGGACTTAAACTAATTTTACAATTTATTAACATGTAACAGATAAGATGATTTGACCGTCTGAAGAGAATGCCTTGGTAAGAGTGCCAAAATGACCGATAGCCGGCTGACTACTGACAGTCCAAAGATTATTTGTTTCCAGGTAGGTTTTGCTGATGCAAATTTCCCATTTCTGGACTGGGAGTCCAGAGATTCTGTCGCCCAGCTACTGAGCTGAGTGCTTAGTGTGAAACAGTGAGTCATGTGGAATTTTTTTTTTTTTTTTTGTGTGTGTGTGTTGTTGACTGCACTCATTTTACGGGTGGCCAATTACATTCAGAACGGGATGTACTTCTGCAGGTGCAGTGCTGGCTTTCGTGACTGACCGTCTGTGCCAACAGGGAGCTGTAATTCTTGTATGCGACCATTAGCGTTAGTACATCTGACAGCTGCCTTAGGCATTTTTACTTTGCAGATGTAAGCTTCAAGATTTTAATGGGACTGACAATTTTCAACTAGTTGTCAATTGGGACACTGAAGGACATTTTGTGTGATCCCTGCTGGAACAGTAACAGAGAAGTTAGAGGGCCACACATCTGCAGTGATGTTGGAACGACTGACAATAGAGAGCCACACATCTGCAGTGATGTTGGAACAACTGACAATAGAGAGCCACACATCTGCAATGATGTTGGAACGACTGACAATAGAGAGCCACACATCTGCAGTGATGTTGGAACGACTGACAATAGAGAGCCACACATCTGCAGTGATGTTGGAACGACTGACAATAGAGGGCCACACATCTGCAGTGATGTTGGAACGACTGACAATAGAGGGCCACACATCTGCAGTGATGTTGGAACGACTGACAATAGAGGGCCACACATCTGCAGTGATGTTGGAACGACTGACAACAGAGAGCCACACATCTGCAGTGATGTTGGAACGACTGACAATAGAGAGCCACACATCTGCAGTGATGTTGGAACGACTGACAATAGAGAGCCACACTAAAGAAATATGATGAACACAGAGCAAGAGGAAGATCACTTAACAGATGGAACAGCCTCAAGACAGCTTCAAAGAAATTAACATCAATTTATAAAATGCAACAGAAAAAGCACATAAAAGATCTGTACTTCTTCCAACAGTTAAAACGAATTAACAGGAGGGTGAGAAGAAGGAGGAGGAGGATGAGGGGGAAATGGTGCCAGTTAAAATGTCTTACAGCCTACTCTCTGTGATTTCCAGTCGCTGTGTTTTTTTATTGTTGCAACTTGCATGTTTTTGCTCTAATCTTACAAGGTTAGGTATTCAATTGCACTACTCAAAAAATAATACACACACGAAATCATTGGGAAAAAAAATGTTTTTTTTTAAAAAACATTTTAGCTGATATTCCCCAGATGGTCATATATTCTGGGATAAAAGCATAGACATAACACCTCCATATGTCGATAAACAGGAGGACTTAAATTAGCTGCTTTTTGTCGACGATCAGTGCATATTCCACAGTAGAAGTAAACAGCTGCAGGACCACACAAACCTACACGACAGTTGCCTTAAACATCACATGAAGATCAATATTGAAAAAAACAGAAGTCATGAGAATAAGCATCTTTGTGGCAGTCAGATGTCAGTTGTAGTTTACACTTGACAGCATATGAGTCAGCCCATAACTTCTTCATTCTTGCCCTACTGAAAACTTCCCAGAATGCTTATCACTGCCCTGTGTGAAAAACCCAAATGAATGCAGTCCTAGCAAAGCCAGCAGCATGCAGATGCATATGGCGGCTGCCAGAAGTGCCAACACAAACAGTCTGTCACCAGAATTGCATTCACCGTTGATGGAGGCAGCTGTTACAATAAATCAGCAGTTGCACACACAGTGTTGCACAAGGCACCACCAGTTCTGAGGTAATAGGCCACCTGTCAAGTTATGGCATCCATACCACTGCTAGTGGATGTCAATATACTTTTTTCCCCCTGACTGAGGTAAAAAGGCTACTTATCCAAGCAGTTGTCACATAATGTACAGCCAACAATATAATTTTTAAAGCCACAAGACAGTGTGCCAACTGTCCCTATTTAACCCACTGACTACCAACATCACACGTAATGCGACGAGGCGACGTTTACTTCCTTCTGCCAACGTCACACCCTTTGCGATTTTAGCTTTGGACGCTCGCCTTCATGTTAAAATCGCGATTTTTATGATGGATTTAGTTGAAACCTCTAGCTTATTCATTTCTGTATGGTTAATTAAGGGAAATAACTCCGTAGTGCTTGAAGTAAATATTTGACGAATTTTTTTAGTTAGCTCCCATGACGGTGAGACATTGACGAAAAATTCATCATGGTGTCAAATTATCGGAACCATCGTGGTGGCCATATCTCTCCTAATTTTTCTAATGATGCATGCGATTTTCTTGATTTTGCTTCAAAAAGTGCATTTGAAGACACTTCTGAACAGTTTGATGGCTATGACTATAATAAATTTAAAGAAATTCCATTGAAAACATCGTCGACTGTAAAACGACAGTATGACGCTTCGAAGTCGTCTGACAAAGACAGTCACAGTGTTGTCGGCTGAAAGCACTAGTGCTGCAGTTTATGATGCTAACAGTTCTTGTGAGAGTATTCAGTCAAAGCCCACAGATTATAAAGATTTTGTGCTTGAGTCTGCACATGACGAAAATATTGCCGCTTTTGATTCAGAATCATCATCATCTAACGAGTCCGGAGAAGATGTGCCACGCCCCCAAATGGTTGATGACTGGCATTGTGATTTAGAAGGCTTTTCTGGAGTACCCCCATTTACTGGCACTTCTGGTTTATTTCTGCCAGAAGGAACAAATGAACCACTGGATATTTTCTTCAGTAAAGACATACTTGCTGTGTTTGCTAAAGAAACAAACCGTTATGCTGAGACAAAGATTAGTGCTGGAACTGGAAACACACAACCCCAAATGAAGTGACAGGGTTTCTTGTACTGTTGTGTCACATGTGTTGTGAAAAAGCTGTCTATTTCAGACTACCAGAGTTTATATCCATCTCTCCACTCATCATTTGCTGCCACCATCATGTCACGGGGGCGTTTTCTATATATTGCTGTCAGATAACATATTTTTCTGTTGCCTTTTTTGCACTATATCTACAGCCACATGATGATGATATAAAACAGTAAATCTACATTTGTCTTGATATTTGTTATCTTTTTAATTTTGTGCAAACAATGTCAGATAGGATAAGTGATATTGAACAGTTGTGAAGCTGTGACATTTTTTGGGAGTCTGAATTATTGTCAGACAAAGGATTTTTCAGTTGCCTTTTTTTTGCACCATATCTACAGCCACATGATGATGATATAAAACAGTAAATCTACATTTGTCTTGATATTTGTTATCTATTTAGTTTTGTGCAAACAATATCAGATAGGATAAGTGATATTGAACAGTTGTGAAGCTGTGACATTTTTTGGGAGTCTGAATTATAGTCAGACAAAGGATTTTTCAGTCGCCTTTTTTGTAACAATCTAGAGCCACATGATGATGATGATTATGTCAGACAAAGTAAACCCCATTTTTTGTCTTCACATTGTTCTCGGTTCAATTTTGTGCAAAAATACAAAATATTATATATGTTTGTTGAAAATTTTTGGAAAAAAATCATCACTATCAGTCTTTATTGTTGTCAGATAAATGATTTTCAGTTGCCTTTTTTGCAACAATCTACAGCCACATGATGATGATGACTATGTCAGAGTAAACCTTATTGTTTTTTTCTTTTAATGTGTTCTTGGTTTAATTTTGTGCAAAAATACAAAATATTATACATTTTTTTTAAATATTTTTTTAAAATAAGACATTTTTATTTGTCTTTATTGTTGTCAGATAAAAGATTTTCCGGTTGCCTTTTTTGCACCAATCTACAGCCACATGATGATGATGCAAAACAAAATAAACAACTTTTTTTTCTTGAAATCTGTTCTTCGTTCAGTTTGGTGCAAAAATACAAAATATTGTGAGATTATATCAAATAGTTGTGAAGCTATGGCATTTTTTGTAAACTCTAAAATACGTGGTATTTGGGGAAATGCAAGGGTTAATGGGCTTGGTAGTCAGTGGGTTAAGGTCAGCGCAGATGTTGAAGACTTACAGATGTAGTCTGGGACAGCAACTCCTGCTGCTCCTTCTCTCTGCATTCATCCACATACTGCTGTCCTGGTTGTCTGTTGACATTTCTGGAATAATCGTGAAAGATGAAAATTTAAGATTAAAATACACAATGCCACTTTAATCTTCCTTCTTGCTCATTCATTCTGATAATGACATGCCATGCATTGTGTGTTTACAGTAAAACCTAAAACTGACACTACTAAGTAAACATTCTTACTCTATGAAAATATACAGTAAAACTTATCTGCTATACAACAACAAAAATATCATAGGTGACAAAATGAATGTTGTGGCTTGACAACCTTCATCAGCATTTAACAACACAGACAATGATACATCAACACAAAATGACTTAGCTTAGTGATTGACTTTAGTAATGATAGTTTAGCTGTTTAGTAATTAGTGAGTACATCGTGACAGTCGGAAAGTTGGAGTGAAGGAGAGGCAGAGGGAGACCAAGAGAAAAGATACTGGACAGTCTGACATCATGACATGGAAGATCATCTGAGTTGATTAAAAGTATGGGAGACAGAAGGTAATTAGACATGTTTACTAACACCATACAGCATGAACTCTAAGAAGAAGAAGAAGAGGACTATCATCACAACACTCCTGACAGACCCATAGCTGCTCCGATCTGTTCCTCAGTAGCTCCACAAGAGTAAAACCACTGATCAAGCCCATTCTCTGTTGATTAATCAGAGATCTTGTGCCCTTGGTGCAATGTTTATGTCCAGCTACTCCAGCTTGCACCTCCATGTCCAGCAGCTTGGACAAGGATGCTGAGTCCTGCTTGTTTTTGTGATCTTCTCTGTGATATGCGGCTCAAATGGCAGCCTTTTTGGCTCTCCTCTGAATAACGGTCCTAAATTATCGAGGCAGAAAATATACCCTAACAGGGCCTCAGTCATGTGTCAATTGCGCACTTCCAGAGACTATAACACCACTACCGAATTGCGAACTTCCGATGACTTCCGCCAACGACGAGAGTATGCCCCACGCCGCTCACACGGCGTGGATTGGGGCTTAACTAGATGGCTGGGACTCATGAGCAAATAAAATGAAGGAAGCTGCAGGAGATGCGGTAGCTGCTGCTCGTGAGTCCAAGCCATCTAGTTTAGCCCCAATTGACGGCGGTGGCGGAAGTGCGCAATTTGAGACAACGGAAGTGTGCAATTGACACGTGATTGAGGCCCTGTTAGGGTATATTTTCTGCCTCGATAATTTAGGACCGTTATTCGGAGGATAGCCGCCTTTTGCATTGTAGCCCACTGTTCTCCTGTAGTATACGCTCTATCTGCTGGTTGGTTTTGTTCCATTCTGACCAGATAGCCACACAATTTGATTCTCTGATATTCTATTACCAGTGCCAAATATGGACCCTCACTACAACTAATAAGCGGAAGATTGTAACAACGGAGATGTCTTAGGAGAGCTGCCGGTGTGACAAGAAGAGATCAAATAAGGAATGAAGAAATTAGAAGACTAGGACTGAAACCAGTCAAACAAGTCATTAAAGAACAACAAATGAGATGGTTTGGACACCTAATGAGAATGCCCTGGTACCAAATGCCACAGAGCCATGCTGAAGAAATAAAATAAAAATAGAGCAAGGGGAAGACCATGCAAGATATTGAGCGACAACATCAGGAGCAACCTAACAGAAATGAACACGAACTTCACTACTGTGACTACAACTTGACTACAATGCTTTGGAAAAAGCACACAAACAATCCTTACATCCCCCCCCCCCCAACACCTCGCTGAGGTAAATGGTGGAAGAGAAAAAGACAAAAAGAAGATATTCTATGAAATCATTTACTGGTACTGTGCCTACAATTATTACTGTTCTTAGTTATTCACTGGAGGTAACTTGAATGTCTACTAATACTATTGTCTCATTTTGTTTTTCCCGCTGCATTTCGGCTCTCCTCCGAACTTGTACCCGATATTATGACGGCCAAGCAAATAACCTAATAGGACCTTAGTCATGTGTAACATGTGGACTTTCTGCCAAGGAACAAATCGCGGCAAAACTAGGATCGGCTACGAATAACAAAACAAATGCTCTAATAGGGTCTCAGCAATATGTTAATTGCGGACCTGTTTCTGCGACTTTGCAGCACAGCGGACAGTCTCCCTGTGCCAATACGCGCAGATGAGGGGGGCGGGGGCTAAACTAGATGACTGGAACTCACGAGCAGCAGCTACCGCGTCTCCTGCAACTTTCTCTAATTTATTCGCTCGTGAGTCCCAGGCATCTAGTTTAGATCCTCATCCGCGCCGCACGTAGCGGCGCAGAAGATACTGTCGGCGGTGAGTTTAACCACATTTTGCGCATGCCGAAAAGTGTGAGGATAGCGACACTAATCTACGTCGGAGCGCGTGGTCTCCCCGCCATGTGGCTATTATTGTTTGTAATGTTGCATGTCTGGAAATTGTCAATGGTCGCTAGTATCGTCTGCAGAAACGCTTGAAATTGTCAATGGTCGCTATTATCATCTGCTACTAACGTCTGCAGTGTTGCGTCTCTTGAAATTGTCAAGTAATCCTAGTTTTGCCGTGATTTGTTCCTTGGCAGAAAGTCCGCATTTTACACATGACTATTGACTGAGGCCCTGTTAGGCTATTTGCTTGGCCGCCATAATATCAGGTAGAAGTTCGGAGGAGAGCCTGCATTTCTTTTGCATCCCATCTCACATGTAATTTTGCGTCTATAATTTTCTAGAACTATCTATGTCTGGCAGTGACAGCACCAAGTTGGTAACAACTATTACTACAAAACAGAATCCCAAAGTTAGCAAACAACAAATCAGTTCTGATTGATAAAAAGATATCAGATATCATCATACTTTATCCTCATCCTGTCGTGTCACTGTCATCACTGAAACTGAAACAACAGTGTGTTGAAATTAATTGACTAATTGTTTCAATGTTCCTTTCGAAAGACTTAGAACACAAACAATATAGTGTAACATACCGGCGATAACTAGGCAACCTGAAGCTGGCATCCTTCTGTTTGTTCAAATCCAGAGCTCCGCCAGTGGAACACAGTAACTGTCACATGCGTGGAGAAGGTTTGAAAATCAGTGACATTGGTAACCTAAAGTCGGTATAAATTTTGTATTTATAATTTGTCTTTTTGTCTCTGTTTGAATAGCAGGGTGTTTTTAAAACTGGAGCAAGCAGATACGTTACATTGTTGGCTTGTTGAATTCTCATTTATATCTCTCTGTCTATTTTACCATTGTATGTAAAGATGCTCCCCAAGTATTTAAATTGTTGCACTTTTTTCAGACTTTGATCTTAATGTTCATGGTTTGTTCCTCTACTTATTCTCATGACTTTTGGTGTGTGTGTGTGTGTGTGTTTTTTTTTTTAAACATTGATTCTCATGTGATGTTTAACTCAACTGTCGTGTATTTGATTTATGTGGTCCGGCAGCTGTTTACTGTCACTGTGGAATGTGCACTTATTGTCGGCAAAGAGCAGCTTATTGAAGTCCTCCTGTTTATCGACAATCTGTTGGTGTTATGACTATTTTTATTAAAACTGACCATGAATATTATCAAACGTAAAGATTAAAGATCACACCCTTGCCTTACACCACAACATCTAGCATGAGAATGGAGGTGGCGGCGGTAACTGCAGCTCTCCGGTGGCTAGAGAAAAAGATGCATACACATGTCGCAATTGTAACAGCCTCTGAAAGCATGCTGAAAAGGGTGAAAACAGTGATGCTTCGAGCAGAATGGCAAGTTTTACTGAAAAGGTCACGCGTAGTGAGCATACTTTGGATCTTTTCTCCAGGTAATGCCGGCGTGGTGGGTAATTGGGACGGATTGGCTGGATATGCACCACTGGGTGGTGAATTGATACATGCCAAGGCAGATGTGGTCAAAGCCCTTTGAGAACAAGCAACAGAATCAGTAGAGAAAGAAGATTATTATGGCCTGGAGAGAAAGAGGCACCTGGGTGTAACCATAGGGTCTGGCCGGCTGACTACACTCAGAGGCAATGCAAGACAGAAATTTAACCAGTCTGTGACCGATGCAATCAGTATAGGAACTTTGAGCTGGCTGCTGAAAATGAGGACGGAGCATGCGTGACAATGCCCCCTGTACTGTGATGTCAATGTGACTCAACTCAGCTCAACCCTGACCTTAATCCTGTTAATGGGAACCAGTCTGTGAGTCCAGCTGTTGCTCTGACGGCACTTTCGCTTTATAAATAGCTCTTACACAGTCTAGCACTGTTCCATTTATACCATATATCCATTAGTTTTCGCCCGGCTTTCTAGCGTAGTTGGCTAAACCTGATTGCGCGGTGAGCGGTTGACGAACTCCTTGTGGTCCGGGTTCACTCCCGGGGGTAGGCAGAAAAGCCACATTTTCTCCCAGATTTACGGTATTTACAATAGAATCAAGGCCGAAAGGTTGCGATATCCATAATAACGAGCCTAAGGGTTATCAACTCATGGCTTCTTGATACTAAAACAAACAAACAAACAAACAATAGTTTTCAAGTACATCCCATAGTAAAACTCTTTTCACTCTGTCAAAAGCCTTTTCTTGATCTGTAAAAATAGAAGCGATGTTCATTTAGTGTCGGTGTTCTATTGTCTTTTCGCTAATTTACCTTAGTGCGAAAATAGCGTCAGTACACTCTCTTTCTTTCGTGAACCCGTTTAACCGTTAGGTTATATTAGGGCCTTCGACAACATCTGGGGTCCAGTGTGCGGCTTTATAAATACAAACAAAATTACGACCCATACAAGGACGGAGTTTTAGTAGTTTAGAAAGAGACCTGCTTTTATCAATGAAACTCGAATCCTGTCAACAGATTAGAGTTAGGAGAAAAATAGCACACAGCGTTTATCACTGATAGGCCTAAGAACTGGTAACATAGAACGTGTTATTTCGTACTTACTATTCGGCATTGTTCACAAAAAACCTCAGGTGTAAATTTTGACGAACTTCTCAAAGGTAAGCCCATCGTTGTGTTTATGAAGGGCACGCCGGACGCTCCTAAATGTGGGTTCAGCAATGCTGTTTGTCAGATACTCAAGTTTCACGGCGTCGACAAATTTACAGCCTATGATGTGCTCTCAGATGATGAACTTCGAGAGGGTAAGCTGATTATCTCTGGTTTTATTTTTCTCCAGACTTTCAGTTTCTTCTCCGTTCTCGTCCTTGCTCTATCTATAACTATAATTAATCTTATCTTTAATTCACTGTTCTTCGCCACCCCCCGTTTTTTTTTTCTTTCCTCTTTATTCTCTCCTCTACCTACCGGACCCCATTCTGTCTCTTATCTCTCCCCGCCCAGTCAGTCTCGTCCTTTTCTTACTCTTCTCCCTTCCTCACTGCAAGTTCATTTCCTCGCCTTTTCTTACACTCCAGATCAGACCGACTCTAAATGAATAAATAATGCCACCCGGTTGATTTCAGCAATAGCATATTTGTAGCTGTATGTTTATTATTTACACTACTAAGAGTAATGTGTAAAATAATTTTAACTTACCCCATGACGTCACGGGAGACATTCAACTAATTTGGAGGGTGGTAAGGTTGGGAGGATTTTTTCCTTCTAGAGTGCATAGCAAAAGTGTGAGCTTGTTGGCTCCTCATTTGACGTATGTTTACCAGCGCGTCAGCAGTCTTAATCTTTGTCGTGTCTGGTTGCAGCAGTTTCCATCTTTGTTTGCCCTTTGTTCCAGCCATGAATTTTCTACAATTAATAGCATATGTACGAGACAAGGAGACAGCATTGCCTTCCTGCAACAGCATGTCATTCTGCACAGAACGAGACGTTGCAGAAACAACCATCAGATAGATGGTGTATTATCGCTGTCGGAAAGACACACGACCATTTGCAGATGTTGAAAGTCCACATGTCGTCTGGACATACCCGTACGGCAAATTGCGGACCTCTTTCTGGTGACTATACCGCCACCGCCAAGAGTATCCCCCACGCCGCTACACGCAGAGGGGTGGGCTAAACTAGATGGCTGGGACTCACGAGCAGCAGCTACAGCGTCCTCCATATCATTTGCTCGTAAGTCCCAGCCGTCTAGTTTAGCCCCCTTCGCCCCTAGCGTGGTGGTGCGGGGGATACTCTCGGCGTTGGTGGTATAGTCGTCGGAATGAGGTTCACAATTTACATGTGACTGAGGCCCTGTTAGGGTATATTTTCAGCCTCGATAATTTGGGACCGTTATTCAGAGGATAGCCAAAAACACAATTTACATTTAATTTTTTTTTTTAATTTAAAAAAAAAAAATCACGTAGGGATTGAACGCAGCACCTTTCATTAATAAGGCGGATATGATATCACCTACTCTACACATTCACATGACAAAATGTTATGAAAACATAACCAGTATTGTACACCGGGCAATTGTGCATCAACAAGCAGCCAACTGCGCACCAAAAGACAGATATTTGCCACACTAAAAAACACTAGAAGAGAAACGACAGCAACAGCACACTTACAATCCTTGCAAAAGTAGACTGTCCAGTCAGCTGTGGAATTCCCACGGATTCCCTCTGTTTGGGGTACGTAAAAAATATTGTACTGAGTAATCATGCCAACACAATGTAACCAGCCAGGCACCTCTATTCTCATTAATACTTTTCTATTCTTACTGCCCTTCATCTACAAATAGAGCATAGATCTACCTGAGAGGCAAGGAACCAGCAGTCTGCTCACAAGTAAGCCAGATCTGTAAAAACAGATCTGCACACAAAACACAAGTTCTGGAACAAGACTGCAGAAGTATCAAACAACCAGAACTTTCCACCCGAGTTTAAAGTCAGTGAACACGAAGAAGAAAAAATTACTCCTCTTGACTAGCTCCTACCAAGATATTTGTAGACTTGTTTATAATTGGCTAGATTTTGCAGCTAGTTGTCTGCGGTATGAAATAACCAGTTTCACACAAGCTTTCCTATGGCATCTTTGCTTCCTTTATAAGCAGATGGCATGGTGCCAGGAAGGAGAGGCAGGGTCAACTAACAGGAAAATGAACACATGATATAAGTGACTCCCTGAGTAGGAAAGTGCATGAGACGGGAGAGCCGGCAATAGGCAATGTTTCTTTCTGTGGTGAGGGTGATGTTCTTAGCTATAAACTCCTGGTTAAAATTCCTGGTTGCTCATCCCCTTCTGAACTTTGGTCTTGTTCCAGTGCTTGAATGTTGTGTGGGCATCTGTTTTACAGATCTGCCTTGTTTGTGAGCAGACTGTTGGTTCCTTGCCACTCAGGAAAATGCATTGCCACTTTGGAAGAAAAACTGTTAATCCTATGTTGGTTAGGCTTTCATTTGGGAACTTGTTTCCAAAATGGCAGCAGAGAGATGTAAATAGATCTTTATCAGTATAAGCCGTGGTCCTCATGCACCACTAAAGCATTTAGCATTCCTGCATCCCACAGGTGACTTATATAGTATAGGCCAAGCAGGTACAATGTCAGGCTCTCTTGCAAAGAATGAGTTCAAATCCCGGTAAGGTGATGGGAGTTTTTCTGTCAGGGGCACAGTCTGTGTCGACAGCATAAGCTATGCGGCTCTGAATCCTCTGAATCACTCCCTCCCTCCCATCTACACCTCCCTTTAAAATAGTGCTCAATACAGGCAGTATAAGGTTAGTTGTGTATCCTTTACAGGACGTTGCAGAACCAACCCCAGCCGAGCCCCAGTACCCACACAGGGAACATTAATATTATTATTATTTTTTAGAGGAAGTTGCCGCAGAATAGTGGCTAGACACTCCTGTACGGATCAGAAGGTCATTGGTTTTCTCCCTGGCAGAGCCGGACTTTTAAAAAAATGGCCTTGACTCTCAGGTCAATCCAGCCAGAGTGCAGTCCCAGGAGATAAAGGCCGCTGCCGTGGTGTGCTGACCGCATCACCCATCTTGTGCAGTTTGGTCTATAAACATATAGGTCTAGCCCTATACACGTTAAGGTGGGAAAAGGGTCCTTTACTCGCTGTTATTTTATAGACTTTATCCGCATTTAATATTTGTTTTCAGGTGTGAAGAAATACACAAACTGGCCAACTATCCCACAGATTTTCTTCAACGGCGAATTTGTTGGTGGCTGCGATATTCTGCTGGACATGCACAAGAAAGGGGAGCTTATTGAAGAGCTCCAGAAACTTGGGATCAGATCAGCCCTTCTGGACGCCAAAGATGAAACTGGGGGAAAGAGCTGATAAAAGAAGTTGAAGACGTAATCTGCCAATTTGGATTTTTCATTGATTGATAAAATATAGATAATTTTGTTTTGTTGCACATTTTGTACTCAGAAATTGTGTCAATATATGGTGGAAATATGTGAATTTAAAAAAAAAAAATCATATGCTTATGAATTATGTTGTTTGATGTGTCATCAGTTATGTATTTATTATTTTTAGTTGGTTTGTAAAAATGGTTTATGGTATGACATGTTTATTTTAATTAAACCGAAAAATTGTAATATGGCATAAATTGTTTCAGTATTTATTGCTGATTAATGTGTGTAGCGTGCGAGGAGGGAAGATAGAGTGATTAAAATGCTGATGGCAACTATACACTTTGATTTGGACAATCCCCCTAGTATGATATTGCAGAGTAGGGTTTACTTATCTCGGCAGTTTTAAAGGCTGCTAAGAGTTGACAGCATTGTCTAAAGCCATGTTGATTTGAAATACTTCTTCTTTGCATTCATTGGCAATGAATTGTGGCATCTTCATGAAAGGCAAGGAACCAACATTCTGCATACAAATCAGTTTTAAATCTGTAAAACATATGTGCATGCAATAATCAGGTTCTGGAACAAAATTAAAGTCCAGAGGTAGGCGAACAACCAGATATTTACAGCCGGTGAATCAAAGAGAAAGCCACTAAGACTGGCACAAGACGATTACTATATTACGAACAGACCAGAGCAAGTTATTATTCTACGTCTAGAACAGGACGCAATTGACTTTACAGCCACAAGTACACAAAATTTTAGATTGGCCAGCCGCGTACACATATGGACTTGCACCTGAAACAGTAGATCACATCCTCCAAGACTGTCCCAAATGCAACATTTCCAGGCAAATCTTCTGGCCAAGAGATACACTGGTTGAAGCCAAACTTTGCGGACCACAAACTTAATTACAAAAGACAGTTAAGTTCATACTAGAGACATCGTTACAGGTATGGATACTTTATTTCCAGCGAAGGAAAGAAGAAGAAACTGGTGAAGGCAAAGGTGTACCCATGAAACTCAAAAGGTTTGGAGCGGGTGGAAGCAACAAATCCACTGCATCCCTACCAAGCATGTCATAAAAGGCGACTAATTAGAGATTTTCCCCAGAAGCTGGAGTGTATCTGCCTGAGAGGTGATGAAGGAAGAGTCTGCATACAAGTAAGCAGATCTGTAAAACTGACGTGCACATAAAACTTAAGTTCTAGAACAAGCCTGAAGTCTAGAAGTGTCAAAGAACCAGAACTTTCCACCAGAGTGTTCATCTGGTGAGCGTGAAGAAGGCATAACCTCGAAGCAGGCAACCAAGTGGCTTTCCGACACACCATAATGAGGACGATGTGGTATGAAGGTCCTGCTGTTGAATTAAGAATCGACACCACAGCACTTGGGGCACTCTTATAAGTGCTCAGTCCACATCTTTAACAGCAAGCGAAGAGTTCAAATTCCAACGGTACCAGTAACCGTCTGATTGTATCATCCTTCCCCTAAGTGTTGAGCGTCGGCCAGATTCCCTGGTAACTCTTTTGCGCCATTCTCCTTAGACCGTAAAGATCTATCTGCACCTCTGCACTGTTCACCCGTTCCCAAAGAGCCCTCACATTATCTAACTTGTCATACATCAGTTCACCACCAGGTGGTGCATAGCTAGCCAGTCTATCTGTCTGCTCATTTCCCAACACACCAGCATACCAGGAGAAAATATCCAAAGGATGCTAACTACCCAGGACCTCTGAAGGGATGCTCGCCGCTGCACGAAGCATGCCTGTTTTCACCTTTCTCAATCTGCTCTGTGTCAGTGACAGTCATGACATGTGTGTACAGCTGATTCTCAAGCCAGCAGAAGGCAGCAGAGACTGGCTCTACCTCCATCCTCAAACTAGACGGTTTGATATCATATGCCAGACTTTGCCGCACGACGTTCATTCGCCTTTAGGTCCTGCTGCATGATGATAATAACAAGTCCAGCAGTTTATTTTTAGTCTGTCGCAAGTCAACAAATTCAGATACCTTGGAGTTGTAATAGACCGAAACGTAGGCATTATGATGGAGCTGGCTACTCGAAAAGCAGCTGCTGGGAGACTTTTCCAGGCCATAAACCGAGGATTTCTTAGCAAAAGAGAAACTGGCAAGAGGACGAAAATGGCTGTTTATCGCTCTGCCTATGTGGTGCTCCTAGCCTACCGGTGTGAGTTGTTCAAGCCAGTTTTCACAGTCCTTAAGAAAAAAATATGGGTTTTTGAGCAGAAATGCTATGGAAAGATTCTCAGAATACCTTGGACAAAGACGGGGAAAAAACTGACCTAAAAGATCTAAAAAATCAAGGAAGATTGGCTAGTAAACAGCATATTGTCTCCTAAGATAGAAAAGTCTGTCCATAGCAAGCGCCATGGTGGACGGGAAAAATAATAGAAGGCATGGTACCCGGAAGGTGGAGGCAGGGGCCGATCAATGTGGTATCTTCAGGTAGTGCTATCCACGACTTTCCGTTTTTCAACCGTTCTCTCAAATCTGTCATATTGCCATGCAGCGGATGTCTTTCATCATTGGTGTAACTCGCATATGGGAGCCTAGCTCGCGCCTGCGACAGTCTAGTTCTAGGGTCTAGACTTTGCCGACGCAATAAAAAAAATGCCACACAACGGCACAATTTTGTTTTTCTGGGGGGCAACAACGTGATCAGCGAGCCACACTAAAATGTTACAACGGGTATAGAGCGAGTGGAAGACCTCGGAAATATGGAATGATGGCATTAAGAACAGCCTTACAGAAATGAACATCAGTCTTAAAAGTGCTCTTGACAGAGCTCATCAACGAACATTACATCTCCCCCCGACACTTCGATGAGGTACAAGGTGGAAGAGAAGAAGAACAACCTGATCAATTATGTCCTTACTACCGAATTCAATGATATAATCCTTCTCTTGTCTCACCCCCGCCCCTTTTTTAAAATCTCCACAATCCCACACTTTTTTTTTTTAATCTTCTTCTTAGAGTCCGTGGCGTTGGTAATCATTCATGTCTGTCCACAACCTTCTGTCTCGTGTAGTTTTTACGTTTATCGATCGTTGTACAGACACGACTTTTCTTTGCAAAATACTCCCAGTAGGTTGCAATTTCTTTCTGTGAGAGCAGTGCCGGTACTGGACGGGTTGCCCCAGCCATTGTGCCTATAGCGGCATCCTCTGCCTAGCAAATAAATAAAATAGATAGGATAAATTCAAGAAGACCAAAGAAATGTCTGGTATCAATAATTATGAGAAAAAAAGATAGCGATACATCGGAGCTGAAAAACATTTACTCACGGCAGAGGTGTGGTTTTTGAGAAGAATGTAAAGAATACCACCAACGGAGTAATATAAAAACAAATGAAGCAGCAGTCATCATCGAGATGGATAAAAAAAACGTAATCTAATTAGAACAGTTAGAAGTAGGAGGAATGAATCTGGTAACAACTGACAAGATTAGTAAAAGAGTAAAGCAAATAGATAAATAAATCCCCACTTGGGCTCAAGGTCCCATTGTGGGGAAAACAAGAATTGACTCACTGCCGACCCAAAAGCATGTCGTAAGAGTCGACTAATTGGGGAGCTTCCTTTGAAGTCGGAGTGCGTCTCTCTGAGAGACAAAGAACCAACAATCTGCATTCAAGTGAATCAGATCTGTAAAACTGATGTACACGCAACACTCAGGTTCTGGAGCAGGACTGCGGTTCAGAAATGGACGAACAACCAGAACTTTCAAACAGGGTGTACAGATGGTGAACGCAAAGCTGAAGAAGAAGATGAATAAATACTTGGATGATTTGACCGCATGGATGAAATAAAACAAGAACATTGACATGATAGGTGATCGTTTGAGATGACAAAACATGATAGCCCAAACTTACCGGTATGTTTGCATGCGTGTAAATGTGTACGAATGAGTATGTGTACGTGTGTATTTTTTTAGTGTGTATGTATTTTTTTTCCTAAACTATATTTTTTATGTAGACATATTGATAATATGCAGTGGTCTGAAAGATAAATGCTTGGAAGGGCTCCGTATAAGACAGACCTGCGTGCCCAGTTTGTAAACGTTTGAAAATAAAGTTCTTTCGCTCGTTTCCCCCGATAATTTGAAAGGCGCACAGTGCAGACATGAAAATGAGAACTCACTGGTGACCCAAGAAATGCTTCTTCTTATCAGAAATCCTTTTTACTTATCCAGACAAGAATTCAAGCAAAATTGCCGGGGATGAACAACTTGTTCGTCACAACAGAAATTCTCCATATCTGATATCGTCTAAAGCGGTGTGCGCTGTATTGGCATTCTCTCCCCTTTTTTTGTTTTTAAGCATTTGCGTATTAATTTCATATTATTTTAAAAATATATAATTATTCTTTTTTGTCATTGGGCGTATAATCGCAATGATTACGAAATTAGGCAAAGCTTATTTATGCTCTCTTCGCCCCCCCCCCCCCCCCCCAAACTATTTTGATAGAGGTGAGAGGACTCAACGGGCTTGAATCTCGTTTAACTGCGCCATAATTTATGATTACTGCGCAACTGAACAAGGCTCATAATTTTAAATGTATGGTGGAAAAGGGGGTGGGGGGTGCTGAGCCCATCAATTTGTCCATATGGCAACGCGCCTGAGTTAAATCCAGAAAAAAAAAGCAAGCTAAAGGAGAATTTATGGATCGATAGTTCATGCGAAGTATTTCTCTGCCCACGGACTTAAATCGGATCCTCGATCGTTGTGATTTTACCTTCTGTGGTTTCCCAGAGAGTCTTTTGTCCCAGTGATGGGATCATTTATTCTTTGGCGATTTAACTTAGTAATATATTCGTTGTTGTTTCCCTAATATTATTCAAGCCAGTTTTCAGTAATTACGGAAAAAATATGTGTTTTTGAGCAGAAATGCTATGGAAAGATTCTTTCAATACATTGGACAAAGAGGGAAAGAAAAACTGACATCGAAAAGGTCTGAACATCAAGGAAGATTGGCTAGTTAACAGCATCTTGTCTCCGAAGGTGGAATAGTTTGCTCATATCAAGCGCCATGGCGGATGGGGAGTAGCAGAAGGCTTGGTACCAGGAAGGAGGGGACAAGGGCTGATCAATATGAAGATGGGCACGGATATAAGTGATTCCTTGGATATGAAAGTGTATCAGGTGGGGAATTAATCAAGAAACAGATAGTATATTGATCGGCACTCACAGAAAGTTTATTTATCAGGTGGATAAGAGCTTGCGACGAGACCGTTTATTTCAGGCAGACTGTGGTGTGAGAGAAAGGACCTGCTACATCACGATGATGAGTTTCCAGACATCATCATGTAGCCGGTCCTTTGCAGAACGTCGCTCTCATCAGTCTGCCTGAAAGTAACTTGGTCTCTCGTTAGTTCTTCCGCACTTTCACACTCAAGGAGTCACTTATATCTTGTGCCCATCTTCGTGTCGGTCGGCCCCTGCCCCTCCTTCCTGGTACCATGCCTTCTGCTATAATTTTTTTTTTCCAATCCGTCGTGGCGCTTGATATGACCAAAATATTTCAATTTTCGAAAAAGGATGCTGTTTATTAGCCAATCTTTTCGTTTTAAGTGCACATTATCCAATTTACAGAACTTGCTTAATTTTTTTTATGCAGGCTGTGGGTTCCTCACCTTTCGAGTAGATCCACTCCGATTCGAAAAAATGCTTTCTTCTTTCATCAACCTTCTTTTCATAACCATGTTTTTAAAAGGGTAGGAGATAAGGAAGAGGAGAAAAAGGGTAAGAAAGAACAAATATTTTATGTCAGCTTTACAAAATCGATACCATGTGGTATTAGTTTGCTTTTTTGTTTCCGTGAAATGCGACCAATTACTCTGTATATTTACCTCTTCGGAGACTCGCGCATTTATTTGGACACGTCTTTTTTTTAAAATTGATATCTGATTGAGAGAAACCTTCACTTTCAAAGGTTAACACATAAAACAACAAACGTAAAACATATACAGAATGACAACTAGGAATCTGGGATGTTGGAGACAGCTTTGTGTGTTCAGTATTTATCTAGGTCAGAATGAAGCTGTCAACGCTTGTTTGTGAAACTATACATGTGTTTTAGGCAGACCTTATAGAAGATACACAAACACTGACTACAAACGAGAAGAGAAGATTTCAAGGTGATCTGAAAATTAGGCAAGTAAAAATCGACAAACAGCTAAGACCCTACACACACAATTCGTTATGAGCGCTCCGTCATCTTCAGTTTTCTATATAAAAGTGGAAGGCATGGTGCGAGGAAAGAGGCAGAGTAACACAGATGGTCACAGAATATAACAGACATCTTGGGTTGGAAAGTGCACGAGAACATCTAACCAAAGACCCTTATTATAGAGAAAATAAGAATAGGCCCATTGCCTACCCAAAAGTATGTTAAAAGAGCTATCTATGTGAGCTTTCTTTAAAGCCAAATTGCATCTGCCTGAGACTAGGAACCAACAGTCTGCGTACAAATCAGTCAGATCTGTCTTGTAGATGTGCACGCAACACTCAGGTTTTGGAACATGACTAGTCTAGAAGTGGACAACCAGAACTTATAGTTGGTGAAGGCAAGAAGAATGTATGTAGGTATGGAGTTAAGCCAGGTTTGAAAACACACTATCCTTGGCCTAGACTCATCTGTGCATAGAACGAGTTAGATGTTTATATTCAGTGATGCGGGTAGTCCCCGACACCAGCTTTCTGTGCTCCTGACTGCAGCAAACCTACATACCAACCCACAACAAACAATGCATCCATATCTCTTGAACATCTTCACATTTTTCTGGTCAAGAAAAAACAAGCTAACTAAACTGAAATTCACGGCTTCCACTTTGTGTGTATACCATAGATCTGGCAACTCTAGTTACAACATGCAAAAGATCTGCAGAAAGACAACACACACAAATAAGTAAGAGCTAACTCAACACACACAAATAAGTAAGAGCTAACTCAACACAAACACATAAGTAAGAGCTAACTCAACAAACACACATATAAGTAAGAGCCAACTCAACAACACACATATAAGTAAGAGCCAACTCAACAAACACACATAAGTAAGAGCTAACTCAACACAAACAAGTAAGAGCCAACTCAACAAACACATAAGTGAAAGCTAAATCAACAAACACATATAAATAAGAGCTAAACAGACCCCCCCCCCCCCCCCCCAGAACATGTCTTGCAAGACTATACTCTCCCGGGGGAAGCTGTGCAGCAACATATGACCACACCCAGTAGATAAGACAACTAAGCTTCTGGGTCCTTCGCTTGAATCACAATCTGCCCGAAAGAAACTTGGTCTCTCACCAGCTCTCCCGCTTTATGTTTTTTCTTACACAAAAAGTCACTTATATCGCGTTCACATCTCCGTGTCAGCCTGCCCCTGCTTCCTGGTACCATGCCTTCTGCTATTGTCTAATCCATCATGGGGCTTGATATGACGAAAATATTTCAGCTTCTGCGACAGGATGCTATTTATTAGCCAATTTTCCATGATAATCTTGTCTATCACTGCATTAAAATGTAACCCAACAAGAAATTTCACCCAAACATAACTAAACAATTATAATGATAAAAATAAAAAAACCTCAGTGAAATACATTGATATTTATTGAACACAAACCACGTGCTCACATTCTGCAAGCATACTCAACAACTGTGTACAGGATTCATGGAGAGATTCTCAGACAAGCAAACCACATTTCATCCACTCATTAAAACAGCTTAAAAAGCACAAGCCCACGTCCTGCATCAATCACAAACAAACAAGGAGAGGACGGGTCATGGAGCTTCAGTTCATTCAAGCTGGTTTTTGGAGACCAGTGTCAGACAACAGAGTGTTCATAATTTACATAAATAAACAGGTCAGAGATCTGCATCCCCAAGTTCCAAGTTGTGTCCAACTGTCACCAGACCACACATTTCCGGGGCGATTTATTTATTGTACAAGGCTTGAGATAATAGTTCATTATTGTGTATAAAACAGGTTCTATCCAGATTTGAAGAGCAAGATGGCAACTTGACCCAAATAGAAGTAAATGAAGTGTTTGGTTTCATGTGTGACGTAGCTGCCGAAGTTGCGGCCGACGATGCAGTGCCATGTTGGGTTGTACTTCTTGTCAAACTCTTTCTTGATATATGCGGCAATATCTTTTTCAATATTGTACTTTTCTAAGGCTTGTGTTGCACAATCGACAGCATCCTGCTGCATGTCTTCAGACATGTCAGCATTCTTGATCACTGCTTTTCTCTCAGACATTCTTAATTCTGGAGAAAAAAAAAAAAAATTAAACATTAGATACAACACTAAAAAACTGTTTATGTCTGATAATGTCTTTGAGCAAAGAAGAATTATAAGCTGGCAGGTGCAAGGCAGGGATTTTTTCTCACAGGAAGACTACACTGCTCAAAGTCAAATGGTTAAAGAAAAGTGAGTCATTGCCAACAAGTAATCCTGGCTGCTAAGACCACAAAAACCACCCATAGTGGTGGGTGGGTGGGCACTGTTATACTCTTGCACACACACACAAAAAAGGCTTAATTTCCTGCAGTAAATGGAATCTATGATTCTGTACATTCTTATGAGGATGTAACCGCAGCACACCAGTTGACAACTACTCTGCTGTGTTGCTTAGCCCTCCACAATCAGATCTTTGTTGATATTTACAGTGTACTTGATTTGGGAGCCCGTAGTCGGAATAAGCAGTTTGTCACATGCACATATTTCTGTTAAAACCCACAAACATGTGCTACAGGGAAGTCACAGCCTACGATAAGCTTATTCTTCGTATGCAATGGCTGTAAACACTTGCGGAAAAGTTCTGTAAACTTTAATCTCGTTCTAGAACTTTGAATTCCATGTGCATTTTCATATTACGGATCTGGTTTTGTTTGCATGCAGACTGTTGGTCCCTTGCCTCTCAGGCAGATGCACTCCAACCTAGAAGGAAAAACCTTAGTTGACGTTTACGACATGCTTATTAGGGGCAGGAGCAGTCTAGTACTCCCCCTCCCCCGGGATAAACCCAGCATGAAATTAACCCATACCCATGACCTAACAACTCAGCCATATACTGTATTCTGATAGCCAGGATACAATTGTTTGCTTCTCTTATGAATCTCAACAATACAACACCTATACAAGATAACATATGTGAGTGTTTTCATTTACTAACTGAAGACAAGGAAATTGCTTTATAATCATCATCATGTGCTCTGCTAAACAGGAACGAACATGTTTCAGAAGCAATTACATCATTTAATGTCACATGTCTTTAATGGTTTTCTTATACCTGCCCACAACCACCCCCCCCCCCCCATTTCACGAACTACAGGTTAGAGGTTAGTTTGTAGCTGTTGGATGTCCTAAACATCTTCGCATTTATTGGCTGTAAACTCTGGCAGAAAGTTCTGGTAATTTGTCCAACTCAGGACGCTAGTCTTGCCCCAGCACATGTGTTGCATGCACATCCGTTTAACAGATCTGGAACTGTAGGCAGATGCATTCCGACTTAGGGAATGTCAACTGTGTTGGGAAATGAGCAGGCAGGTAAGACTGGCTGGCTTTGCACCACTTGGTGGTTAACTGATGTATGACAAGTTAGATACTGTAAGGGCCTTTTGGGTGCAAGTAAACAGTGCGGAGACACAGATAGATCATTACGGTCTGGTCTAAGAAGAATGGAGCTGATCCAGAACCTGAGTGTTGTGTGTGTATCAGTATTACAGGTCTCATTCTCTTGAATACAGACTGTTGGTTCCTTGCCTCTCCGGCAGATGCACTCCGACTTCAAAGGAAGTCCCCTAATTAGTCGACTCTTACGACATGCTTTTTGGAGAGGCTGTCGGTCTATTGTTGTTTCCCCCAAAATGGAACCCTGGAACTCACACAGGAAGGATGTCCTAATACGTTACACAGATGAAAGAAAGGGGTTTCCAGGATCCGCTTATGTTGGGATTTCCATGTAAATAATCACTTTGTTATTTTTTAGGCTGCAATCTTGGGGTAGGAATCTGATATGATCTACTTGTTTGTTTCCTGTGATAACAGTTCAATGCCTTGACAGAAATTAAGAGGCCAATGCAAAAAGAATAGCTAAATAGTACTCAAAAGGTCACAGTCACAGAATTGCTTAAAATTTTTTAGCATACTAAGCACAATCAGTCTGAACAAGCTCGTCTTCTGACATGAGTTAATGCAAAATTGGGTACAGAAATTATAGGTGGTGATTATTATTTTATTATTTTCATAAGGAAAGCAGTGCTTGTGTTGCAACTAGACATTGTGTCCCGGACACTGTCCGAAATGAAAGTAAAGCCATCCTTGGATTCAAACCCACACCCTGTCCAATCTTTTTCACATTAAAAGGTTGTAAACTGCAACAAAAGTTCTTGTTCACCTATTCCTGGACTTTAGAATGATTCAAACATGAGCTGCTTGCCCATCCGTTTTAACCAATCTGGCATATTTGAATGCAGACTGTTGGTTCCTTGCTTCTCAGGCAGATAAACTCAAAGGAACAAACCCCCCCCCCCCCCCCCCCCCCCAATTACTTCCTACAGTAATAATGCATGATTAAAATGGTGGGAAACATAAGTGGTTAAAAAAAAAAGTTTCTTTTTACAAAAGCTCGAGATAAATTAGTGAGGGAAATTAAAATTGCGCGCAAAGGAATGTTCGAAATTCTTGTCTTCGCTTCCGCGTTTCATGATTATCATCTTATCAAATATAGTATGAGCTTTCCTGATATTATCAGGGGCTTTCCACAGAACTAAATTAGAATAAATTCACTTAAAAAAATTAAATCTGAAACAAACTTGTAACTAAACTGACCAACAATATGGACAGGATGATGGCGGTAATTTGCGCACATCGAAACAAAATCAGCTTACCTTCTAAAGTAACTTACGAAAACTTCAAATTATACAAAAAAGACTTACATGCGTGCTTGATTACTGCGTTAGTAGAGGAATGTGTCGGCTGCAAACGACGTTGGTGGGTTAAATAAAGTCTGTGAATGCAAGGAAACAGCTCTGGGATCGGCCGTGTTAAAGAGACAATGACACAACAACGGCTGCCACAAGTTGCTCGGTAATGAGAAGGAAACTCGCCCGCTCATTGGATGACGGGTTCTTGCTGCCTTTTCACAGACCAGCATGCAGTGCGCAGCTCCGTAAACATTTTGTGTTGTCATTGACGACAATGTCGTTTTTAATGCTTTGACAACATAGGGGTTTGTGTTCATTGGGTTCAACTATATACCCCAGGGTAAAAAAGGATCGAGTCAGTGAATAAGGGGCCTGGATTCACCTTTACCCTACACCCCAAGGCAGAAGAGGGTCGATTAAGTAAGGGGCATTGGGTTCACATTCAAACCCTAGGGAAGATGAGGATCGTCTAAGTAAGGGGTGTGGTTTTATCTCTACGCCCCAGGGTAGAAGAGAAATTATTAAGTAAGTGGCATTGGTTCATCTCTACACACCAGGGTAGAAGAGGATTGACTAAGCAAGGCGCTGGGTTCACCATTACACCACAGGGTAGAAGAGGATTGGCTAAGTAAGTAAGGGGCTGGGTTCACCACTACACACCAGGGTAGTAGAAGATTGGCTAAGTAAGTTAAGGGCCGGGTTCACCACTACATGCCAGGGCAGAAGAGGATTGGTTAAGTAAGTAATGGGCCGGGTTCACCACCACACCCCAGGGTAGAAGAGGATTGACTAAGGAAGGGGCTGGGTTTACCACTACACCCCAGGGTAAAAGAGGACTGGCTAAGTAAGTAAGGGGCTGGGTTCACCACTACACCCCAGGGTAGAAAAGGATCGACTAAGTAAGGGTCATTATGGTCACCTCTACTCCCCAGGTATATATATATATATATATATATATATATATATATATATATATATATATATATATATATATATATATATATATATATATATATATATATACACACACACATATCTATGTGTGTGTGTTTTTTTTTTTGGGTGGGGGAAGGGATGCTGCGTGGTTTCTAGGCATGTGTTCAAGCTCCAGGGAGGGCTGGGATTTGGGAGGGGTGGGGGTTCCCTCAGTGCCTCATATTTTTTAGAATTGACCATGTTTAATAATTTCAAAGTCATGACTTATAAGATAAGGTCACCATCTCATTTCTTGTTAAGTGTCCTATCTCTCTCCCCCCCACCCCCCCCCCTTTCTTTGTTTCCACGTGAAAAGCGTTTAGCACCGATTTTATCTCACTGTTATTACATGTCCCCGCCCTAAAGCTTAAGTGTTGGGAAGATAAGCATGCTACTAGAAGGAACCATCGACGCCGAAATCTTGCGGCTCAGACCTCCATCTGTACCACCTTCGAAGCCGAGATAGGAGATATAACCAACTTTTGATGGGAACAATTACTAGACTACCTTGGAATGGCTGCTGTATCCCCTAGTTAATGCAGTTAATGCAAAATTGGGTACAGAAATTATATGTGGTGATTATATATTATGTGGTGATTGCTGTTCGTCCTTGTAATGTCAATAAACTTAACAAAATATCTCTTTGGCTTGTTTTCTTCGTCAAAGGGCAATGATGCAGTTAGTTCTTTACTTTCTTTGTATTTAGCGATTGCTTCCCTTGATATATTATGTTAAAGATGTCACAACTGGACACACTGAACATTCCTATACGCACTCAGTCCTCCGATGCAGCAGCCATTCCAAGGTACGTCTAGTAATTGTTCCCATCAAAAGTTGGTTATATCTCCTATCTCGGCTTCGAAGGTGGTACAGACGTGCTTCACCATGGTTTACTCCCATGTCACGCAATCGTGTTAGTGTCAGAGATTCGTCATTACCCACTAGCCCAGTTGGCAAAGCGTTGACTATATCTGCTCTGTCTACGCTTCTTCCCGCATACGTTTCTGCATTGCTTGCCAGCTGGTCCGCTAGCTCATTACCCTTTACGTCCTCATGACCAGATGTGTAGATCCAGGTGATGGGGGTTAAGTGCGATTTTTCGAATTCTTGCCTCCCACATTATGCTATACCACATTGTGATATCTCAGTTGAAGGAAAAAGACACAAGTCAATAAATTCAAATATCTGGGAACAGTCATATCATCAGAAGGAAAATGTGAGACAGAGATTACACGCAGTTATATCAAGCAAAGGCAGCATTCCAGACAATGATCTTATGCTTTGAATTTCAGAAAGAGGGTGCTAAAATGTTACATAGAACCTGCTCTGCTGTATGGCAGCGAATCTTGAAATGTC